GATTTTACCAGCTTCTATTTCTTCATCTACCAAGAAAAAGGGGAGGGGAACGGAGGGGAACGGAGGGGAACGGAGGGGAACGGAGGAGAGGAAAGGGGAGGGAAGGGGAGGGAAGGGGAGGGAAGGGAAGGGAAGGGAAGGGAAGGGGAGGGAAGGGAAGGGAAGGGAAGGGAAGGGAAGGGAAGGGAAGGGAAGGGAAGGGAAGGGAAGGGAAGGGAAGGGAAGGGAAGGGAAGGGAAGGGAAGAAAACTGAGTGTATCTCCCTGAAACAGGTAGATGCACACCAGATATTTCTCTCCCAGATATATCAGCTTTCTCACACATATATGACCTTTTCCCACCAAAATAAGAGATTTTTTTCCCAGAAACACCAGTTCTCTTAGAAATACCTCTTATTTCCTCCCAATTATACTACTTTACACTCCTCAATGACACTTACTCCCATAAATACGGTATTTTATTGCAGAAATACCATTTTTCTCCAAATACATGACATTTTCTCCCAGAAATACCAGTTTTCTTAGAAATAGTTCAGGTTTTCTCAAAAAAATACTATATTACAATACCAATTATGGCATTCTCAACCAAATATATGGCGTTTTCTCCCAGAAATACCAGCTTTCTCCCAAATATTTCACATTTTAACAAGATGAGGTTTAACAAAAGCAAGTGTAGAGTCTTACATCTGGGGAGGAATAATTGCATGCACTGGTACAGGCTGGAGGATGAGCTGCTGGAGGGGAGCTCTGTGGAGAGGGACCTGGGTGTCCTGGTGGACGACAGGTCGGCCATGAGCCAGCAATGTGCCCTTGTGGCCAAGAGGGCCAATGGCATCCCGGGGTGCATTAAAAAGAGCGTGTCCAGCAGGTCGAGGGAGGTGATCCTCCCCCTCTGCTCTGCCCTGGTGAGGCCTCATCTGGAGCACTGCGTCCAGTTCTGGGCTCCCCAGAACAAAACAGACAGGGATCTCTTGGAAAGAGTCCAGCGGAGGGCCACGAAGATGGTGAGGGGCCTGGAGCATCTCTGCTATGAGGAAAGGCTGAGTGAACTGGGTCTGTTCAGCCTTGAGAAAAGAAGACTGAGAGGGGACCTGATCCAGGTCTATAAATATCTGAGGTGTGGGGCAGAGGTGAGGCAAGACTGTTTTCAGCAGTGTGTGGAGACAGGACGAGGGGTAATGGCCAGAAACTGTAGCACAGGATGCTCCACACAAGAACTTCCTTAGGTGAGGTGACGGAGCACTGGAACAGGCTGCCCAGGGAGGTGGTGCAGCCTCCTTCTCTGGAGATATTCAAGACCTGCCTGGACACCGACTTGTGCGACATGGAGTAGGGAACCTACAGGACGATCTCTGGAGGTCCCCTCCAACTCCTACGACTCTATGATTCTGTGATTCTGTGATCCCATATCCAAAGTCCATCTCATATATATCCCAATCCCTGATATCTCATCCTGTATCCATACCCCACAGCCCACATCCCAATCGCACATTCTACATCCCAATCTAACATCCTATATCCCACATCCCAGTCCCAATTCCAAATCCCATTCCCAGTCCCTCATCCCAAACCCGTCACCCACCTGTCGATCTCAATCCCTCATCCCAATCGCAATCCCACATCCCCGATCCCAATTCCGATCCCAACCCCATCCCCTATAGCAATACAGAGCACTCCGAGGCCCCGTCCCCACAGCCGCTCCGCCCCGCCCCCGGCCTCTCATTGGTCAGCGGCAGTTCCGGCCCGCCTCCGGTCTCTGATTGGTCAGCGGCAGCGCCACCTGCTCCGATTGACTGAGACGCAGAGCGCGGGAGCGGTCGTTGCATCCGGCTCGCAGCCTGCGAGCTTTCCTCTCAGAGGCAGCCTCTGCGAGCCGGAGCTGTCCGGACAGCACCGAGACGGAACCGCGGCACGACGGGAGAGGTGCTCAGGAAAGCGGGAGAACGGCTCCGGGCGGGGAGGGGGAGAGGAACCGTGCGCGGCCCATGCCCCCCTGCCCTTCCCTGCGCCGTGGGATGCGGGGACTTGGGACGGCTGAAGGACTCGGCGCCCCCACCGCCCGCAGCGCTGCTGCCCGCATCCGGGCCGTGCCCCCCCGAGTCCCCCAGCGCTGCTCCCGGTGCTCCCTGGAGCTGAGGTGGACTGTGGGTACGGGGGGCGGTGGGGGAGATACGGGGTATGTGGGAGCTTAGGAGCTGTGGGGTAATGTGGGGTATGGGGGGTATAGGGTAATTAATGTGGGGTATAGGGGGATGTGGGGAGATATCAGGGGATGTGGGATTGTAGGTAGCTGTGAGGGGAATATGGGGTTGGGGGGGCTATCGGGAGGGACGTGGGGCTATAGGGGGCTTTAGGGGGTACTGTAGAGAGATATAGGGCTGCGTTGGTTATAGGAGGGTATGGGGCTATAGGGCCCCAGGGGGCTTTAGAGGTGGATATAGGGGTATGTGGGGCTATAGGGTGCTTTATTGTGGCTACAGGGGAGATTTGGGGCTATAAAGAGCTGTGGAGACTACAGAAGTGGTATAGAGGGATATGGGAAAAGAGGGGGCTATGAGGGAGATACAGGGGGATATGGGGCTATAAGGCACTGGGGGGGCTTTAGGGAGGGTTTTTAGGGCTGTAGGGGCATATAGGATGCTATGGGGCTATAGAGAGCTGGGGGGGACATGGGAATGTAAAAGGCTATTCGGGGAGCTATACAGTTCTATGGGGAGATATAAAAGGGTTATAGGGAGTATAGGAGGCTTTGTTGGGGCTATAGGGAGATATGGGGCTCTAGGAAAAGGTGGGGGACTATAGACAGATTATTAGGGGATAAGGGGGGTGATATAGAAGACTGGGAGGCTCTGGGGGGTATAGGTCTGATGTGGGGCTGTAGGGGGCTATTGGGGGAGTTACACAGTTCTATGGGGAGTCTATAAGGGGTAGTGGGAAGGCTAAAGGAGAGTTCTAGTGGAATACGGGATTATAAGGGGCAGTGGATAGGCTATAGGAGCATTATAGGGTGATATGGTGCTATAGAGGGTGTATGGAGGATATGGTGCTATAGGGAGAGTATAGGGGATATGGTTTTATAAAGGGTGTATGGGGGATATGGTTCTATAATGGGCTGTGTGGGGCCATAGGGTGATAGGGTGGGCTATAAGGGTCTTGGGGCTAGAAGGCTCTCCCCTGCCTTTAAAGGGTTAATGGAACTATAGGGGGTTGTGGCGGGCTGTGGGAGGGTCCATAGGATGGTAAGGGGCTGGGGAGGGTCTATAGAGAGAGTTGTTATGCTATAGGGGCTTGTGGGGGGGACATAGAGGGGCTGAGGGGGGCAATGGGGAATACAGAGAGAGATGGGCCTATAGGAGGTGTATGGAAGATGTGGTTCCATAAGTGACTGTGTGGGGCCACAGGGTGATGGTGGGCTATAAGGGGATGTTGGCCTAGATGGCTCACCCCCCCCTCCCCCAGCCTATAATCTATCCATAGGTTTAACCTATCCTTAGCAGGGTGGCTGAAATGCCAGTCAAGAAACTTAAATCAGAATTGAAGTTGTATTGGAATAGAATAGGATTGTTTTGTGGTCTTAAATCTGAAACATGTTTTCTCCTTGGGCTTCAGAAATTGTTTAATAATGACTCTGGAGAAGGTTTCACTATCCAGTCTCCTGATCAGGAAGAAAGAAGAAGGTTTTTGGAGGACTTAATCACGAGTGGAGCTGCTGCTGAATCTCTACTTCCAAGAAGCAAGCATTTTGCATCTCAGCCTTTTCTCACTGCAAGGTCCCAGCAGTGTCTGGAGCAGCAGGAGGAGGAGACCCTGCGTGGCTCTGCGTGTTCTGAGAGCCGTTCCTCACAGACTGCCGCTGGCAGATGCTGGGCACTGCAGAGCCTGTTGGTGCGGAGGAGGTAAAGCGCTGCTGATCTGTGATGCCATCTGATCTGTGTGTGTGCAGGGTTTCCCTGTGTTTGTAGTTCTCAGTGTTTGTGGCCCTGGTTTTGTTCAAAGATGTCAGACCTCCGTGCGCCTTTGTTCCCCCTCCAGCTGGTTCTGAGAGCCCTTCCATTTTTGAGAAGACTGCGGGTTTAGTTCAGCATCTACTGATGTGTCACACAGATTCAGGGCTTTCAAGAAGTAGCTTCTTTGAAGTGTTTAAGATGGTGAATTCTGCTAGACAGAGCGCTTGTCTGATCCGACCTCTTAACCCCAAGGCTCGTTCTGCAGGTCCCGATGATGGCACAAGCATTAAATAGCCTGGAGCTCGTCGCTGGGGTAAGGCTCCGCATTGGGCTGTGAAGGGAGAGATGGAGGAGGGGTTTGAACAGTGTTGTGCAGGAATGGAAAGCTAGTGAGAGAAGAGGTGTGTTCTGAGAGCGAGGGCTGCGCGGCTCATCTCTGTTCTAACAGGAAATGCACAGCAGAGCTCTCTGCTCTCTGTTCTTTCTTGCAAGGTTGCTGCCCTTCAAAGTGCGCTGTGGATGGGCAGCATGATGACAGCCCAAGGATGGCAGCAGGAGATACAGCACATTCCTGTAGGTGTCCCTTCTTATGGCCCAGGCTGCTCCTTGCTTTCCCCAAGGTAACCCATTATCTTTCCAGTACAGCCCACCCATAATTCCCTCAGAGCCCCAATACCTCCCTCAATACTTTCCCTGCAAGACCTCAGTAGCCACCCTATAGCCCACCACAGAACCCCATAACCCCTTAATGACCTCCTCAGACCTGTTTGTGGAATGCATTCATTTATTCCTCCACCATAGGTGGCCCCAAACCTCACAGACCTCCATAGTCCCCAGCAGCACCCCATATCCCCCACTAGACTCCAACTAAACCCCATTATTTCCTCCCTCAGATCTCCCTTACCACCTCCAGGAAAATTGTCACGTAATGAAGCAGGCTGGCAGAAATGCATTTCAGGAAGGTGAATGAAGCTTCACACTGTGAAGGCACATGGTGTCTCACAGCTTTTGTACTTTATAATTTAAAATGCATCTCCAGTCTTTTCTTTTTTCTTTTTATAAAACTACTGAAGTCACTGTGCTTTTTTCATTCATTTTGGTGTTCTCTTTAAGCCTGTGAAATCTGTTATCGAATAGCACTGTCATCAAGTATTTTTCTGCCTTGCCCTTCCTTTTGTTATTTCTTTCGTTTTATGTCTGGCCTATTTTATTTTGCAAATAGAAATGTTGTATCCATGTTCTCGTTTAGTAAACAAATGATGACTTGTTCTGATCTTCACTTCTACTTGGGCATCCAGCACAGCATTTAATGGATTTGCACAGGTTAGAAACAAGCAAATTTTGAGAATTTTTTTCTGTTTTGTTGGGAAGAGATTAAGACTGGTTGCACAGTTTTGAAAACTCTGCTCTGCAGACCAGCTACACAGTAATGTCCTGCTGACACGAATCCTGAACTTGTCTGCCCTCAGAAAGTCTTCCTGGATGTTTCTAGAAGGTTGCTAATATTCTTGGCACTCTTGGCCTAGCTGAATTTTATTGGAAAACTCCCACTAGCTTAGCAGGACTGTCTTCTTATTTTCCATGTGAAAGAACTGGATTAGTATTTTTCTTGCTCTCTTTTTTGGATTTTTCTAACAATCTCAAAAGCCTGTGAAGCATGGCTTCTTCACAGCTTTCACACCTGTTCAGTGGCTCTATGTATTTATGCATTTATACATGAAATGAGCTTTATTTGTTTCTGCAATGTTGTTTTCACCTAACATATGTTTTAGTCCGGGAGTTAAATCTGAGTTGTTTATTTACTGCTGTGATAATGCTGAGGATCTGCATGAGGCACTGCAGCAGTGCAGTGCACGCTTACGCTCTCAAACCTCAGGGCCCCCATCCCAAGTGATAATGCAGATAATCTGGGGCCTTCTTAAATTCCAGCACCATTCAGAGGCTGGCTTACCCACAGCATGCTCTGCACACCACTGTTTAGATATGCACACAAAAAAGCTGGGCATCTGCAAGGCTGAAAACGAGTCTTTCAGTGCTTATTAATTTTGCTCCAGGCCTTTTACATTAGTAAAGTATTCAGAAGGAAGGGCTAAAATACAAAGCTGCCACCACTTTCTCTAATTAATGCATGCGAAGCTTCACATCTCTAATTACTGAGCAGTGTGTGCTGTGCAAATAAAAGCCCAGAGTCCAGAGGATGTGTAAGGAACTCTGAGCTCTGCACTCCCTGTGCAGTGCAGTCTGGCAAAATAAACTTCTGGCATTCGCTGTTCAGAAGTGCAGTGTGCCTGAAGCAAAGTCCTTGCAATTCACTTCTATTCAGCGAAGGATTCCTCACCTGTTTGAACAACTTGAAACATTTTAGAGTTGTGGAACACTTTTGAAAAAGGAAGGTCTTTAATATTGATATTCATGCCTATTTAGATTATCGATTTTCCATCCAAGCTCAGCTACTGATGGTTATGCCTGAGTAAGCCATAAAAATCAGGTCTTTACTGGATACATCCCATGCCAAATATTGTTGCTGTGTTGTTTTTATTTTCTACAGGTAGGATGCCGCTGCATTTACAGTGCAATCAAATGAGAATGTGACAGAGACTCTGTAAGTGGTGGATTTTGCTTCTTTTCTAAAAAAAAAAAAGAGTGTAAAAAAAAGGGTACTGTTTTTTGCTTTGTACAAAAATATTTGCTCCTTTGTACAAAAACATGGGTGTTTTCCATCCTCTAATTCATTAAATCTTGACCTGAAAGAATAGGTGGATATACCATTGCAGCTGTAAATCTGTACTTTCTGAAAGTCTTTCACTAGGATAGCACTGCAAAAAAGGAAAAGTAGGTTGCCTAGATACTTTTAATTTTTGAAGGTACAGTCAGTTCACTTATTTATTGCACTTAAGAAAAGCAAGAATGAGTGCTTTGGTCCAGTGTACAGCAAGGAAGTGCTCACGTGTGCTGTTGGTACACATACCTCTAATATTACTGCAGCTTTATCTATCTTCCATATTTTAGTAGGTACCATCTTTTAAGGGGGGGAATATTGTTGATAGTGATCATACTTTGGTGGTTTCTGGGCTCCTCTTGCTGAATCCAGTTAGCCTGAATGAAGGATATGGAGTGGCAGCATTGCTGGGTGAACGCTGCTGTTACTGAGAGCAGAAGAGTGATTCTGTCTGTTGATGTGACTTTGGTCACTGAGCACCGTGAGAGCATTCTGAGTATTTGTGTTTGTAGTTCAGATGGCAAGTAGCCTAAAGACTGCTTGTGCACAAGTGACTCAGCACATCAGTGCAATCTGCATTGTAACACATTAACTCTGATTTTAAGCCTGAAAGTTCCTTCCAGTATTAAGGCCCAGGAAACTCATTAGCCATCTGACCTGGGATAAACCTGCCTTTTGTTTCTCATTACAATCTTGTTTTTCCTTTGTGAAAGTCCTTGGAACTGGTATTATCACACAAGACATATTCTGCACAGTGTGGTGTATTATAATGAATGTTTCTTTATTCTTTGCCAAATCCAGAAGGTGGTGCTTAGGCAGATTTCTCTATACCTCATTAAAAATAAGCCTGCTAAAGGAATAGATGAGGAAAGAATTGAAAGGATATGTTTTGGTGTGGTGGTGGGTTTTTCTGTTTGGTTTTGTTTTGTTGTCGTTTTCTGAAAAATGTCAGGGAGCAGATTTTCATATTTTGAATTATTTCAGAGATGTCTCTTCATTACAGAAGGCCTTCTGAGCAGCTGCATCTTATCAACTGCAAAGCAGCTGGATAGCTTTTGAGGTTCATATTATGCTGAGCAATGTGTTCATGGCAAATTGATCTACTGGGGTTATTTAATCTGGCTGAGTCAGCCACCTTTATAGATGCAATATGCTGAGCACAGCTTGCAGCTCTCTCCTTTAGCTGTGTGTGTTTGCAAGGCTTTGTCCCCAGCAGAAACAGCACTTTTGCTGGGAGCTGTTTTGCTGCAGGACCAAACATCGTGCAGGACTGGTGATGTTTACTAGATATGCTTCCTAAAGAATAAGCATAGGCCAGAATTTTAGAGGGTAAGAATTGCAGAAGAAGCATGGCCCATAAACGGAAGCTTTGTAGGTGATTGAGATCTCAGGATGCAATAAGCATTAAAAGAAACTAGGGATTACTTTTTTTTACTCAGAAGGTGGTGAGGTACTGGAACAGGCTGCCTGGAGAAGCTCTGGGTGCCTCTGGTCCTGATAATCCTGATCTAATGGGTGGCCTGTAGAAGGGGGATTGGAACTGAATGGTCTTTAGGTCTCTTCCAGTTCAAGCCATTCTATGATTCTATGATGTTCGATGTCAGAATTCATATAGTTAGTAATTGCCTATGTGAAAACAGAGTCTGCAATGTGTTTCTTACCTTCAACAGAGAAGGGATCTTTTTGTCTGAGAACTAGTGGAATTAGGGGGATAGGGGATAATTTTAAAAAATCCTGTTTGAAATCATAATTTGGGACACTCCTCACTTTGCCCTCACTTTCTAGAGCATTTCTGAGCAAACTGAGTACTTCTCCCCCATTTCTGCTGCTTTCAATAGTTCAGGAAGCTAGCACTCTCTTTCCTTGCAAGAGAGGGATGTAGGACTGACTCAGTTTCTGTGCAGAACACTGAGAATGAAGATGCTCTGTAGATGATCATTAGTAATGTAAGGCTGTCCTCTTCCTGGCAAAGCCATTGGCACTGATTCTGCCAGGAGTGAAGCAGCACTGTAATGCCAGGCAGAGCTCCCATTCCCTTCTTCCCTGCCCACCATCATGTGCTCCTCAACAAATTTTCCACTGTTTACTTAGAAATCCGTAAAACAAAAGACTGAGGCTGAAGAAGCTCCACCTGGGGAAGTCAAGGTGGAGGAAACCCCTGCTGCTGTGGGAAAGGAGGCCATCCCTGCTGAGCCAGATGAGCCAACAGAGCAGGCTGCGGTGAGTGATCTGTCCCCCATCTCCCAGCCTCATCTGGGCCATCTCTCATCACAGTGAGTGTGCCTGCTGTATTTCAGCCATCCCCTCTGTTCCTCATCATGGCTGGTTTTGTCAGCGTTCAGCTGTGTCACAGCATGCCTCTCCAGCAACTTTTGGTCCCAAAATGTCATTCCTTTTGAGACTCGCATTTTAGCTGGAAGTTCACCTGCATGGTCTTACAGGCAGTCAGAGGTCAGTGCAGAGCATCAACAAAAGGTTTTCAGATATGCAGATAGCCTTGCATGGATCTTTCTGTGGAGCTGATTGTGTTTCACATTCCTGCTAGGGGCAATAGCTCCGGCACTACAAGCCTGATTGTGACATTTATTAACATAGGGGAACAGCGTTAGGAAAGCGTACAAACAGAAGTGAAGAGTAGCTTGGAAATGGTCTGATGCTCTACTCAACCAATGTCAGGTTGGTTGTGTGCTGGTGGTGTTGGACCACTGCAGAAGCCACTCATGATACCACGCAAACTGTGTGCAGCAGAAGGCTCTGGAGTACAGCTGTAGTTTAAAGGACTTCTCAAGGACAGAGAGATGATTTTGCCTGGATAGTTGCAACTGCGTCACTGGATTAAAAACTGGTATCAAATGTGAATGAAATGAAAAGGCAGGCTGAGCTTTAGTTGCAGCACCTGCCTGGTTATCATTTCTCCCTTGCTCCTATCTTCCTAACAGGGTAAAAAGAATTTGTTGTAGATGGAAATGGGGACAGTTTTCTGCATGCTGTTCTGGAGAACTTTGAGAGAGAGGGAGGATGATCCCTGTCCTTGTCTAATCCTTCCTATTTGCTCTGGATTCCTACCTGTGAGAGCAGCATCGTAACGGTAGAGGAAAGCAATGCCAATGTGTTCCTTAGAATTATGAATTGGACTTGATTCTAATTAAATCATGAATTTTGCGTGTGTTTAATTTTAATTTACTCCTTGTTCATGTCTATAGTAAACCCTAGAGCGAGTGACCTCAGCATCATCTTCTTATAATAAGAGACACAAAGAAAGGCCCCATGGTCTGCAGAGATCTGGCTTTTCCCCATGCGTGTTTTCTTTTGAGTTGATCTAAATCACTGTAATAACTTGTCCACTCTATAGCAAAGCAAACAATGAAGCTGCCTATCTGAAGCACGTTGTTCCAACAGATCGTTGTCAAAAATCCTCCATGGCTAGGCAGAGTAAATTTGATGGTTTGGAATAAAGAAGAAAGGATGGTGAGTAGAGGAAGGATGGGACATCAGTCATTGGTCAGGAGGTCTCTTCTGGTACTCACTCTACTGAGTGGCAGTAAGTAAAGTGAAGAACAGGTATCAGAGAAGCTTATAAGGTTGTTTTTGTATGGTTTGAGTTTGTTTTTTCTGTAAGGATTTCAGACAGGAAAGAAAAATTATGACGGAAATATTTTTTTCTAAAAGGAAGCCAACTGCTTTTCTTGTACGAAGACAAAGCTCCAAAATCTTCATTGTCTGAGTGCTAATTAGATGGCAGGCTGAGGTGCAGCACCACTCATCCGTTCACTGGCCCTGTCCTGTGACCTGTTTTGCTGCCTCACCATCACTGAGGCATTCTCAGTCCGTGTTCTTTCATGCTCCAAATGGCTGCAGAGCTGTTGGAGAGGAAGACAGTGAGAGAGGGGCAAGTGAGTGGCAATCCAGGAGGAAGTCATAGGTATTAAATAGAAGTCAGACAGTTCTGACTGGGTTTATTTTCATTTTCTGTTACCTTTAGAATACAAAGTTGTCTTTACCAATTTGGAAGAGATGTCTAGGAAAATGAGCTCCGTGTTGATTTCTTAAAAATTCAGAAGTAGAATTATTCATTTGGCTCTGAGGGGCAATGATTCCAGGAATTGCTTTCCAGGACTTGCAAAGGACAGTCTTGAACATCAGGATTAACAACAGCCGTGATCAAAGCTGAGGACATTTCACTGAGATGCAGAATATGAAAGCATGTCATTTCTCAGCAGCAGTTCAGTGTTCATTCACTTTGTGAGTGACTTAAAATGAGTTACTTAAGACTTGAGTTAAAGTGTTAATGAGTTAAAAGTGGAGTGGAAAAATATTAATAATATCTTTCTGATAGGAATCTTCTATTGATTTTAGTAATTTCAAGTTTGTGGTGACAGCCCCTACTCAGCACGATTTCTCTGTGATGAATTTACTGTCAAGCCACGTTAATTGGTAGAATGTATGGCAGTCATTAGTTGTTGCAGGAGCTTTGAGTAAGTTTTCTGGTAGGGCTCTCATTTAAACTAGGAGGGGTAGTGCAGAGAACAGGGTACAATTCCCTGCGCAGGAGTTTTGGGTTCTGTTACTTACAGTTTCATAATCAGCCTGAAGTGCATTGCCAAACACTTCATTCCAAGAGCTCATCTTAATTGCTGCATGGAATCTTACTGCATGTCCTTGTTGTGATCCATCGGTGCCACAGAACAAATAAATTTCTGTTAGGTGCTGGCAACCATTGATTCTTATTTTGGTTTCAGGGAACAAAATTTTTCACAGTTAGAGGGACAGAATCACCACGTGGTGCAGAAGAGCTGAAGCAAATGGTAAGAAGTCCTTCTTGTGTGGACTTTTGTCCACAGAAACTGTTTTGTTTCTTCTTCCCATAGTATGTAAAATCCAAAGGATGCAGTCTAAAAGATATTGTTTATTAACCACTGATTGATTTCAGTTTCAAATAATAATATCCCTCTCACCACGTCAATTTTTCAAAGTCAGGCAAAGATGACAAGTATACAGAACAAAGAGAAATCGTAGCAAGTCTTGTTATTTTGTTGTCCTATCTGTGAAATGCTGCACCCAGAGTTCACAGCATTACTCAGAGATCAGCTATTTTGACTTCCAGATGCTCCTTGGTTTGGAAAGAGCCTTTCTGTGCTTTGGGTCTGATGCTTGCCTGGACTTTAATATTCTCTCATTCCATCAGTCAGACACTCAGCTAAACACAGTGATTTTCAAAGCTTTGTGTGGGCACATATGAAACTGCCAGCTGGAAGCTCTCTCAGACACTGAACAGTGACAGAGGCCAAGAAAGAGCCTTCAGCTTAGAGATGTCTAATGATGGCTGAATCCCACCGTAGGTACAACTCGTGGCACCCAAACTGCAGACTGTATGATCTGGGAGAGCAGTGCAAAGAAGAGTGGTCAGCTGTGTCTGAAAGCTGAGCGTGGAGCCAAGTACAGGTACAGCACTGGAGTATGAGGCCATTTAAAGGTAAAATATTTCTTTCAAAAATGGGGGAGAACTGATGTAGAACAGTGTTCTTCTGTTCTAAGTCAGCAGAGGCAGATTGCACTCTGTTTATGGAACTGCAGCATTACTTAGGCACTGTTTCAGTAATCCTATTTACTAGACATTTATGCCTAGCATGGCATAAAAATAAACATTGCACTGCCGTGCTTCCCTGCTAAAACTCAGTCATCCTTACCATCCCAACTCCTAACTAATCAAAAGATCAGTGCTGCTAACTTTACCAGTACAAAATAGTCCTGAAGAAGTAAGGGCAACTCTCCTAACCTTTCTCTTTCCCAAAAAATTTGCTTCCAGTTATGCTTGAAACGAGCCCTCATTTAAAAGTATATGTATGAATGCATCAAATTTTGGAATGAGGCCCAAGCTGTAAGCTTGGTTGATGGAATTCTTATGGGAAAGAGTTTCCAGGTTACTGAAAAGAGAAGGGTAGGGACAAACACATTCCTGACATAGAGCAGTGCTCATTTCTGAAGGCAAATTGACTTCTAAATACAGCTTATTAAGAAATTCAGCACTTTTTAATAGTACAAGTCAGAAAAGTGTTTCTGTACCAACTTGCCATTACCATTAGATACACAGCTTTTATGAGGCAATAGAAATATTTGTTTACCTCTCCTGTTAAAAAAAAAAAAAAAAGAGCAACATGCTGTAGCAAGCATGCATGCTTTGCTAGAGTAAGAAATAATTCTATTTTGCAGTTGAAGCTTGTGGGATTTTTTTCTTTTTAAAACCCTCTACAGCCTGTTTTAAAATTAATGTAAAAATCAGGTCTTCCCAGCATGGTTTGGCAGCTTGAAAGAAGAATTAATCCTGTATGTATAAAAGAAGAGGTGATGTCACACTGCAGTTTTAGCAGGATAAAGCTGTGAGGGGTTTGCATGGTAATGCTGCTGTCAGCAGCTGCCTTGCCCTGGCACCTGATGAGCTTAGAAAACACATGAGTGAAGTGAAGTTTGGATATAACGCAGCATCCTTTTATTAAACAAGATGATATGCAGGCATTTCAGATGAAACGTGCAGGAATTTTGTTGTGGCAGGTGTGTGGAGCTGGAGGCTGAGCACTGAGGTCTGATCACAAGTGCTAAAGATGGTGATCTGATCTACCTGCACTCACACAGATCTGCATGACTTATCTTCACCCTTACAGGGCTTTTGAAAAATCTGACGTATTTGCAAAGCAAAATCTGACATGTTTGCAAAGCAGCCTCAACATTTATTAGTGAACAAGATTTCTATAAGGGGGCTTAGATTTACTTTTCCTCTGAAAAGCATCTTTAGAAATATCCTGCAATCTGCAGGAAGCCAAGACTGAGCAGAAGAGAAAAGCACTTCCAAGTCTTCCAAACGAGACCCCTGTACTCATCACTGGTGAGGCCGCACCTTGAGTATTGTATTCAGTTTTGGGCCCCTCACTACAGGAAAGACATTGAGGCCCTGGAACGTGTCCAGAGAAGGGCAACAAAACTGGTGAGGGGTCTGGAGCTCAAGTCTTATGAGGAGCAGCTGAGGGAGCTGGGATTGTTTAGTATGGAGAAGAGGAGGCTCAGGGGAGACCTCACTGCACTGTACAACTACCTGAAGGGAGGTTGTGGTGCAAAAGGGTCTGGCCTCTTCTCCCAAGCAAATAGTAGGATCTGAGGAAACAGCCAGAAGTTGTACCAGAGGAGGTTTAGGTTGGACATTAGGAGAAACTTCTTCTCTCAGAGGGTGGTCAGGCAGTGGAATGGCTGCCCAGGGAGGTGGTGGAGACGCCGTCCCTGGCAGTGCTCAAGAGGCGCCTGGATGAGGAGCTACGAGATGTGGGTTAGTAGCTTGTGGTACTAGTAGGAATGGGAGGGTGGTTGGACTAGATGATCTTGCAGGTTGTTTCTGACCTTGTGATTCTGAGACATGAATTACAGCCATTTTGACTGTTTGTTGACCTGAACCTCTTGATCCAGGCTAAGCAATAGCCAGAACTGAATCCAAGCTCAAGCAGAAGGGATATTGCTGAATCCCAAAATGCTACAGTAGAATTGGAAACCAGCAGGGGCGCAACTGTCCCACAGAGTTTAGGAAATTGTACATTTTTTTCTCTTCCAAAACCTGGAACTCGTGCAGTTTTACAGCTTCTGTAGGAAAGGATCTTGTGTTAGATCCCATCTGTGCTGTAAGAAGTATTGTTTGGGGTGGAGAGCATCACTGTTCAGAGCAATTGATCCCTTGAACATCTTCATGGGTGCCAGATTTAGAGCCACTGACACATGTCTGCTGTTTTAAATGTCAGGCACCCACTGCATGTACAGCTGAGTATGGACCTGGAGGAAAGTGATTCTGCACAAACTGATGAGCTTTGTGACCCACCTCTTTGAACAATCCCCTGCCGTGTGTTTCAGCCCAATGTGTGTGGAAGAAGTGTTCCAGAAAGTTTTCCTGCAAACTGGTGAGTTGCAGGGGCAGCAGCAGGTTATGATGGGAACATTCTGAGTCTTCGGTGGGAGAAATTTGAGGTAGCTGGAAAACTGTAAGGTCAGCAATGTTCTGGGCTGTTGCTTAACAAAAACATTCATCCAGTATGGTGCTGTTATGAGAATACTGACAGCAAAAGTACATAAAATTGACACTAGCACTTCCAGTGTGGTGATCATTATGTAATTAACAGGCTTTATTTCTTTATATGTTTTTTTGCTGTGTTCTTGTTTTGTTCTGTTTTTGTCTTATAGCTACCTTTATTTCAGATATATAGCAGCGAGAATCTTTCCACTCCCTGTATGCTGTCCCATTTAGTTCCCACCATTCATTTCATCACATCCCATACATGCCATTCTTCCACTAAGCTTGATTAATGCCAGTTTCTCTGCAGTCATTCCCTCAGCATGAGTAAGATGGTGACCATATTTCCTCTTTATCCAGGAGAATATCGAGGCAGAGATAAGGAGACAACTGGAATTGCTGCGAAAGAGAGCGAGGTATGTATGAGCAGCCTCAGGAATTTGGTTGTGCTTTAATATCTTCAAGAGGAGCGTGGCAAAAATATATATATGTCATCTGCATGTAATCAATGTGCAGACAATACAATATGACTGTGACCCAGCTGTGGTACCAGAACATTTCTCATTCAATGCAAGACCTACTTAGAAACTGCCTGTTGCAGTAGTACTGACTGATAAATATTTTGGGACAGAAAACATACAGATCCATGAACAGAAAGTGGTATAATGCTGTTTCTATTGACATTTGTGGTAAAGAGAGAATATGCTGCATAGATTCACAGTAGCTTTTACATTTTCCTTGAATTTGTTTGTTGAGCCTTCCTCTGAACATCTTTAAAAAGGAAAAGGAATTTTGATTCATCATTTGTTTTTCCTTGCACAGCTGCAAATAATCATGCCACAAGTTCATTTTCTAAAATACAAATCTGGCACTGAATTTGGTAAATTACAAAGCAACTGAAAAACTCAGGGACATACTTAATTTCTCTTCAGGTGGGCATGTTGAAATCTAAGGGTGGTATGGTTGTATTTTGCTTATATAAAGCAAGACACTCTCAATCCTTTTGTACAGAATTGAAACTGTAGTGTTTTTGAGTGTGCATGGAGAGCAGCAGAGGAAGAAGAGCTACCTATTAAATGCAGGAAGAGAGGTAGGGAATGAGAAAGAAATTGTTACTCCTCATTGGTAATTGCTTAGAATCTGTATCTCTGAGCTAATGAACTGTTGGATTATGTTATTTGCCTTAGTGCCACAACATATACAAGCAGATTGTAAACTGTGTTCTACTTGTTTTGGTTTCATGGTAGGCTCAGCTGTCCAAGCTTGAGTTTGTTACACTGATGTGAGCATGCATCAGCCTTTCTGCAGTCTGGGATATGTCCATGCTCTGTGGCTACCCAGGGTGCCCCGTGTTGCAGGGAAGCCAGATGTGCAGCCAGCAGATGTCCGTGCTGGGCAGCATGGCTGAGCCAGGATGAGGTCCCACTGCCATAGGCTGCTTTCTTCCTGTGACCCGTAGCCCTGCCTCACTGGTGCCATACTCTTCACCAGCCTGCTGTGTAGAAGCCAGGGGAATTACACTAAAAAGAATTTATGGGATGGGAGAGGTAGATCAAACCCAGTTTCTATAGCTACTGGTGCTGATGTGCTGCAAATGTGAGTTGCACTGCTTCTCTAGCATTGTCTTATCACTGCCAAGTCTGGGCCAAGAAATGCCTTGCTCTGCCCTGAGCACAAAGGCTAAGCCTTTGAAATACATCTTTCCTCTGTTTTCCAAACTAGGTGCCCTTGTAGAGTAACTTTTATCTGGTCAGTTTAACCTGCTTAGAGGAGCAGTATTACTGAATGCAGAAGAGATGCTGTCAGGGATCAGGCTGTTTGCTAAGCTGATATCCTGGCTCCAGTGGAGGACTGTCCTTCTGAGGCAACTTTCATAACCAGTTCTGCAGTATTACTCCAAAAGCCTTCCAAGACTCTGCAAGCAGTTGGTGTGCTCACTAAAGCATGATAATTAGTTCTTGATCTTATATGAGACGGCTGAGCTGTAATTATGACTAACTGTCCTAAAAATTACCCAGTCTTTTTCTAAATCAAGCTGTGGAGCAAGATCTTCAGCTCTGGAAAATGGGGAGAGCTCAGTGAGCTCCTCCCAGACCCCCAGCTGCAGACTCGGCTGCTCTCCTCCTCTTCATGGCCTCATTCTTGCTGCTGCTGAATCTGGGCTGACAGTTATGATCCTTTTATTATCCTTATTTAGTTATTAGTTATATTAGTTATTATCCTGCACTGAGCTGACAGTTATATTAGAGTATAATGCAGCCAGCTGCAGCCTGGGTAAAGAAGCATTCACTTTTACTGCAACTCAAAGCCACGTGGCTCTGTTATCACAGCCTTCATTACATTGGATGGCCCTTGTTTTTTCTCCTGTGTGGCTGTGCAGATTTCAGTAACACTTCTGCAGATAGCTGGTTTAGGATACTCTTAGTCTGTGTGTTGTTATGGAAAACAGGTTTGTAGAGTTGGTTCTCAAAACGAAGACAGGAAATACCTGCAAGTACGTGGCCCATTGCAGCTAGGTGTGGGATTCTTGTTCTGATTTCAGTGAAATTGAGTCTCCCTCTTTTTAGTTCAGTTTAGTTTTGTGTTTTTTTTTTCTTTATCAAAGACATTTGATACTAATAGTGAGATTCATTCAGCACTAGCACACATGCTTTTGTAAAAGCCATTTTTTAATCATCTATCTTGCTTTGGTTCTGTATTCTAAGGCACGGGAAATACCCAGTTCTGCATATGTGAATGTGCTGTGCATTCAGTGAGTTACAGCTACAGCTGTTGAGAGCATCACCCTTTCAATGCTGACTATTTGTGAGCTGACTCATGTAAATTAAAGTTCTTCTCCACCGTAAAAGAAAATTGGCTACACAAGTCCAGTAAATAGAAAATAAATGTTGATCCTAATCACAACAGGCAGCAAGATCAATGTCTGCAGCATGCTGTTAGAAGCACATGTGATGAAATCAATCTGATAGGCATTCTGTTCCCCTCCTTTCATACTGGTCTCTTCCAAGGCTTTTACAACCACCATTTATTTGAGTACTAGCCTGGGTCAAGACTGCTAAATTGGTAATACTCTGTGAGACAGGTTTGCATGCCTTACAAGTGACAGGAGAAGATGTCAACACTTGTCCATATCTTTTGATAATACTTCTGTTTGTGGCAGAGCATCCTTCCCTAGCAGAATTTTCAGTTCAAGCTAAAACTTCTCCAGTGGTTTCTGCAAAACACTGGAGTATTTCCTGCTTTCAAGGACTGCAGAAGAATTTATTTACCACATCAATTAATGTCAGCCACTAGGGGTGGATATAGCTGAAAAACAGTGACTGAAGAATGATTGTGAACAAATGCAGGCAGTTCAAGTTGAGCTCAGAGAGCTGCATTAGTCTCATTCATGGGTGGAAAATCAAACTGAGGAAACAGAGCATCAGGCTGTGAACTGAATTTCTGCTGAACTTAGCTTGATGCTGGTACCTAGAAAACAGCTTTTCTTTAGTGTTAAAAATGTCCTGAAGCCAATTGAATTGACAGAATGTGTTTTTTTATTTAACTTCGTCATCAAGCCTCAAGATGAATCTACAGCAAACTTAATTCAAGTATATAACTGTAAAAAAATACCAGTGTGTACCAACACAAATGTTGGGGTGATACATAAATTACCTCTGCTGGAGGAAGGATTTAGCAATGGCCTTCAGGAAGGTACTTTTCTATCCACCTTCCAATTACTGAAATAAAATGCATACTGACTTTTCAACACAGACTAATGACAAATGATTCAGTCATATCAAATCTACTTGGGTCTTTATTTATGTTTCTTTCTTCTTTAAAATGAGCCTAGCTATAGGCTAACATTTTCTGATACCTGATGACATCTGCATATTTCTACCCTTTATCTAGCTATAGGGTGTATTTGCTTCAGCTAGCATAGCCCAAGTTGCACATCTCTGTTCAAAAGAACTCTAACTAATGCTCTCGAAGGCAGTCCAGGTCTAGAGATTGCAGACAGCAGCTGGAGCAGACTTGCAGCCTGTTCCCTAGAGCAGACTTTCAGTAGCAAAGGGGACCTCCGGACAGTTTGCCAAGCTTCAACTCACCTTGAACCTGCAGGGAATTTCTCACACCACACAGCTTGGAGGCAAATCAGCCCTGAGAATGCAGTCCCATAAGTGTTCCAGAGAGCAGTGGAAGGAGGCCATTGTATAAGCGTGAGAAAGAAGAGGCAGTGAGAACACATGAGCCTTGAGAAATTTTTCCTACACTAGCAATACCCATCTGAAACTCTACTGCATGTTGACAGGAAGGTTTTGTAAATGTCCCTCTCCTGCCTGTAAATCAGCTTTGTCGTGCAAGCCTACCCCTGTGCTCCCTACATGGTGCTTCAGGTATAGGATGGCAGCCTCCAGTGTTGCTTTCCCCCTTGGGTCAGGAGAAACCCCAGTGAAACCAAAGCCAGGGGCCGGCAGCACCTAAGAAGATCACAGAGTACAGGATATCTCCAGCTGATATGCACAGCTCATGTCCTGAAAGGTTTCTCCTTTTATTCTGCAGGTGGTGAGTGCTGCAGATGGGGCGGTGGAGTGGAAGACAGTGTGGTGGTGGCAGCAGGAGCTGGTGAGGGTGCTGCTCCCATGGGACAGGAGGCTGCTGCTGGAGGTGACAAACCTCAGGGAGAAGAAAAGGAGATTGATATTTCTCAGGTACCTCATGTTGTTGTGTGGGGAGCGTTAGAGGAATCCAGCCAGATCCAGCAGCTCCAGCACAGGCAAGGCTGATGCAGCTCCATGCCCCAGGGTCCAACAAGCAGTGAGGATGAGCATGTATTCTCAGTCAGTGCGCACACAGAGCACACAGACATATTTGTACACACACAGACAGCCATGGGAATCAAAGACAGGCACACGGGGTACTCACACAAACACAAGCATTACCAGAGGCCTCATCGCGTTCACCTCTGGCTGAGCAGGTAGAGATCTACTAGTGAGAATACATATATTCATATGTGCATGCTGACAACACTCAAGTCCACTCACCTGAGTGTCTCCAGTGGCTGGCACCTGGATCTCTCCTGTAGCTGGCAGATGGGCACACAGGCCCTCCAATCCACGGTCTGAGCCTAGTGTACACACAGGCAAGAACAACAGACAGCCCTCACCCTGGAGAGGAGTTAGCAAGCAACTTAGTGAGAAGATAGGACAGACCACACTCATCAGGTGCAGCACATGGCCAGATAACATCTGAACTATCCACTGCTTACATGCAAGCAGCCCATTTATGCTGTTATCTGTGGCTTTGTTGTCCCACACTTGTTCCTCCCCAAATCACCCCAATCCACCCACTGCTTTTGGTTTCTCCCTTAAACATCCCATAGTAAGTCTTGTACAGTAATGTGTCCCATGGCTCTTGGCAACAACCTCCCTCAGTCCTGAAGGTGCTCTGGCGTGTGATGGATTTCACACAGACACTGGGACAGCCCTGAAAGAGGTCCAGGTCACTTCTGCTTTTCAACTTGTGTTCCTCTAAGCTCTTAGAACTTTTACTTTTCTGCACAATTATTGTTCTCTGTCTTGAGGTAAGAATCCCACCTGCAGCAGAAGTAAAGAAACATGTTTTTCAACTTGAAATAAAATGGGAAATACTCTTGTGCTGCTTTTGTTGTATTTTATTTCTTTTCCTAGGAAAAGGTTAGCAGCATCCCTTCAGTAGTAATGGAGCCAGCATCAAACAATGAAGGGGAAGGAGAAGAACATGATGTCATCATTAACGAGTCCAAAGATGCTGCAGCAGAGATGGGCACTCAGGCACTGACAGTGAAACTTGCCAAGCTGGAAGTGAGCAGAAACCAACTGAAGAAATCCAGACTGCACCTTCTCAAGATCAGCCTGCATCAGCAGGAGGCACAGCTTCTGACATGCCACTGGGCTTTCTCTTTAAGGTCTTCTTGTTTGCTGTTCTTTTAGACATCTTTTCACATCTAGCTTCTGTGGATGTGTCTGAAAATTGAGGCATTACGATGGTTTACTGAGGCCAAAGGACGCCTGGTTTCACAGCCACATGCTTGCATGCACATGCACTCACCCAACCTTTGGTTGTGTTTCTTCTCCATACATGAATTTTGAGAAACATATTTTCTGCACTTGGATTTTGTTGGTTATATCCCTCTGTAGCTGTAAGAATCATTAGAGGTCTCCTTTCATCTTGCCAAGTCAGTACTGACAGTGAATCTTTTAAGTAAAATTTCACTGCCAGTGATTTAGTCACTAATATCACACGATCATTTGCTAACAGTACCAAAAAGGCATTTTTCTGGCCTGAGAATCTGTAGAGGAAGTTCCAGCCCTATTGAAATCTGTGGGACTTCAACAATTCACTGTAATGAAGTAGAAGTGTCCTTTTTTTGTCCTTAGTATTACTGTACTTACGAACTGTTAGGGTATTCAGGCAGAAAAGCTTAATGAAGCTGCAGGGAAATCCTCTCCTTGGCTGGTAAGAGCCACAGAGATTCCTGGTTCACAAGGTTCTTTCACTTCAGAATCAGTGAGCAGGAGAAACGCTCCTTGAGGCTAGATGAACTTTATGTGCTTCCTGCTATCGTTTGCATACTTCAGACTAGTTAGTCCCATAGCACTCCATAAATATGCCATTCCTTCTGATCCAAGGTCACTGGTCAAGATTTTCAGCAAACAGTGAGAATGGCATTAAGGTTAGAGTGACTGGTATTGTGCAGTTTTGGTGCAGACCTGCTCATCTGTTGTTCATCGTTTGTTTTTTGTCACGCTTCCTTGAGTCGAACATAAGTAAGAAGCAGCAGAATGCACCACTGCCATCTGGTTCTCGATGCTGTATTGTTTCATTATTGCAGTGACCGCGGAACTGTCTGTGCTTTGAGAAAACTAGGATAGTGCCTCTCTTCAGGAGGAAGAGCTATTTAGTTAAATGGTCTGTTCAGGACAGTGTGCTAACCCCACAAATGTTTTAATGATCACCTCTTTGACAGAGAGATGTTTTTGGCATTCCTGTCTGCCAGTGAATGGGAGTTCTTTCCAGGACAAACAGGAGCTGTGGTTCCCATTATTCACTTCTTTTGTCTTGTACTGAAACTGGTACTGTACCTCTCACTCTGATTTCCAGGGATGTTTACATCAATCACAGTATCCAGCAGACAGCATAAGGAAGGGTCTGAAGGGACATTTCCTGTGATTCTTTTCCAAGCTTATTAGCAAAATCCTGCCATCCCTCTCCTCGGGTCTAGTCATGATAGTGGGAAATGAAAGCAAGTTCCTTGCACGGTAGGAATAATGTAACAGGACTTGTCCAAGAGGCAGCATCTGTGGGATTCTGCAACCTTGGGAAAGGAGGTTTGGTTTCTTTCAGTAGTTTCAGGAAGATTTACTGAAGCTCTACCTGTTTCATGAAGTATGATTAGAAACTTTGATGTGAACATTAACAGCTTGAATGTACTATGTATCTATGCCCATATATTTCCATAAAGAAAGAAGTGAAAGAGTACATTTTTCTTTTTTCACAGTGTCTCTGTTTTGATCATTTCTGTACATTTGGTATTTCCTTTAGGTTGAAGCTCTGCATGATTTTGAGGCAGCTAACAGTGATGAGCTTAATTTAAAACAAGGGGATATTGCACTAGTAATTCCTTCTGAGACCACAGCTGATCAGGTAACAACAACATGATTAGTTATTTCTTTTGCTAATGTTTCCATTTGTCTCAGTTTCCTTCTCTTTATAGTTAATTTGAAATGTTGGTTCAAAACGCCTTTACTGTTAAGAAAAGACCAACATTCTTATTTTGCCCTTTTACTTGGTTTGATTTGTGACCAAGCAGCACAGCTAACTAAGCTAAAGTCCCAGGTATGTACTGCCAACAGGATCCAACTTCAGTGCATTTTTCTAGGGCTCTTTTATGTTACTTTGTAGTGAATTTTATACAGGCTTACATACAGACACAGGCTGAATACAGAAGATGGCTTATGAATTGTGCACCCTGCTATCATGTTGTAACACTGGGTCGGAACTGACTGTATTTCCCCACATGTTCAGTGTTTTACATGGAGATCTGGGGAAATATGCATTTGCCCAGAGAGAGCACTGAGACTGCACACCAACAGTTCTGTCCTGCAGCCAAATGGCACAGAGGTGTTCCTACATGTCCTGTGTGCCTCTTGGAACCTGAGCCTCACACAGCTGTGCTCTTGAGCTTTGTCTTTGGTGCAAGAGCCTAACCGTTCAGTGTCATTTAAGATGTTTTATTTTGTCTTAACAGCGTGTTTCGGGTTAATTTTTAAACGATTTAATTCCACACATTATATTGATTTGCAGTCAAGTGAATGAATTTTTTACCTCCTCTTTAAGAGCAGCCCATCTTGTACAATTTGTATGAGCCACTTTGTGGCTGCAGTGGCAGGAAGTGTTGATGAAAAGCATCCCATTGAACTGGGGGCTGGGAGGTTGGGCTCTGGACCTGCACAGTGAGACAGCCAGGTCTCTGCTCCGAATGAAGAGCAGTTCTTAAAACATGCCCAAATGCTGTCAGCGCTGACAAGCTGAACTCTCTCTTAATGCAAGAGACAAGTAATTGCTTTGGGTTTTGATTCTTTTTTATTATTGCTTCTGAATAAAAATTATTTTTACTTTCCTTTTCACTGGGACACTTTGTCATTTTGTAGGGACAGATCCTCTTATGCTTACTCAAACTGTGCTGCCTCACCTCTTGGGCTGTTCAGCTGATTTCATTGTCAGTATTTGCAGAACCTACTCTAAGGATATAAAAATAGGCTGTCTTCAGTTATTTTTTCTTATAATGTTTTGTATTAAATCTATATAACCTTCCCTTGGTGAATCCATTGATTATTTTTCTCTTGTGGTGTGCATCCAAATCCCATTAGTGTTCATTGGAGTGAATCGTGTGCAGTGATGGAGAAAATGAAGCCCCATGTATTTGTGTTGCTGAGATCATTCTGCTCATATCTTTATTACTCAGTGCATATTTGCCCTTTGTGTTTCACATCACCGTAGAACTCAATTTTTCTCTTACCAGATAATTTGTTGATTTACAGAGAGTATTTGATCTTGGTTCTTTTTTCTCCTGCAAAACTGATCTAAAACCATCATTCTGAGATAGCTAGTGCTGTCAGCCTGTGCTCCCTGTGCAAAGCCAACTCATCCCAGCCAGTGACTCCAACTTTTATCCATAATTGTTGAGTTGAAGTCATCATCCATTACAACTTCAGTCCTGAGCAGAATCTACTCTGTCCATGGTAGAAAACTTCAGTTCCCCCACCTCAGGTTTTCCAAAAGGTGAGCTTCAAAAACGTGCTGCCAGTTACTCCATCTCTCTTTGTCCTGTCTGTAGAATAATAATGAATCAGCATTAGAAATTAGAAATTCCCTGTTAATCATCACTTTTCTCTGACTCCTGTTCTTAAAAGGAACAAAGCACAGAGTTAGCCATGTGGTGAGATGAAAATAGGCTGATCACTGCAAAAATACTGCACGGGTTTTATTCCAGGTGAAATGGATAGCACTTAGGAGAACCCAGCACTTTCCAACAGGAAATCTTCCTTTTGATTCATGGATTTGGATTGCAGTATTGCATGTCAAGATCTGGCTTAGGCTGAAGCTTCCAGGAATTTTTGGAAAAGGTTGTTGAGTATCAACTGACTTTTAGTTTCTAGCAATTATGATGGCAGAGAAAACAAGAACTGTTATTTCTTCTGTCAATACAGGAATGAGAGAAAAGAACACTCAGAAAAAAATAATCAGATGAAAACATGGATTTTTTCCCCCTCATCTGTGGCATTCTATAATGATTCTAGCACAGTGCTGTGCTCTTACTGTGTAAGTATCCCAATACTGCTGTGAGAACTTCGCAAACATCTCCTCGTGCATTTGCACAAATGCAGGTTTGCTGTAACACTGGATGACTCCAGAGGCTGATTATCCAATGTTCAGTTCAGTTGGAGGTTAGGTGGGATAAAGGCCATCTAATGTGCTCACAGTCTCACAAAACCATGGCAGAACAGAGAAAACAGTCTGTGCAAAATCAGAGTATGCTATGTAACAAATCACCACTTCTTTTAGCCGTATGACTCTAAAACTTCTCCAGGCCTGGAGTATGCAGAAAGGAATGGGAGAGAGCTGACCCTGAAGATGCTCTGTCTTTTCTCTTTCAGGAGGCTGCTTGACAGGCATTAAGGAATCTGAGTGGCTTCAGCACAGAGATGCAAATGATTATAAAGGACTTTTCCCAGAGAACTTCGCACGCCACGTGGAACAGTTCTTCTCACAGGCATACAGATGTGGTTTGAAGCTCAGTCAGTGGGCTCTTCACCTGCTTGAAACACAGGAGCCCACTTTTTCTGTAGTTCAGGCTGTTAATGGTTTACAGATTGGTTGCTTGTTGAAGCATATCAAAATGAGCACGAGTGCAAGCAGTTAAGCTAGCCATTTCTGAGGCAGTGCGTGAAAACAAATCAAATACAAACAGAAATGTCCTCATTTGTTCACATGCACGTGGCAACGGGTTTGTTTGTGCTTTGCCAGAGCTGTGGTGATCCTGTGTTTGGTCCTTTCCCATGAAATCCAAAGTTAGCCTCCTTGATAGCAAAACCTGAACTCTGCACTCAGTGCATTGTATTGAGTTGCACTGCAGAAAACTTAATTAGTAATCCTGTAGTAATGAGGTCAAACTACTACAAGTTTCACATGTTTAAAAAATATAATTAACTGCTGCAACGTTTTTCAGTGTTACCTTTGGAGTGCACAGTGTATCTACATGGGAACTTGGACGTGTGTCTGCAGGTGCATGTGGGTATGTGTGCGTCTCAACAATGTCATGCAGTGCTTTGGCTGTGCAGTGTCATCAGTGCATGCATTGCTCTCCCACTATCTGGCATTACAGACAACAGTTTTATTCCAAAGCAGAACCAGCTGCTCCATTGCCAAAGCACTGCACAGTATCCATGTTAGTGATGTGAGATTTTCATTCTGAGATGATGAATGGCATCGTTTTCAAAGCTGCTGAACCTTTGAGAAGGCATGGCTCGGTTTCCTCTTCCGGCTGCAGTAGTTACAGTGAGGTAATCTGGAAGGGGAACTGTTATGATGCTCATGTATACTTTTTTATTTAATTGGCTGAATAAAAAAAACACGACAAAGTTAATCTCTGAGAAATAAACATGTTTTCACAACAAGTATTTATGCAGCGTACCTTCACAGATTCTTTTAAGGATTTTAGGTACATAATGTATGCTGTATCAAAAAGTCACCTGTAACTTCTGTTTTCCAGTGCTGTGTCATTAAAAATAAACCTGTGATCCACAGATGCTTCATCTGTGATGCTTTTGAAGTTGTGTTACAATGAATTTCACGTGGTTCCTGTGTTCTATTAGGGAATCTAACTTTAATTTCATGCCTCTTTTCCCAAAGAAGCACAGCACAGCTGGGGCACCATCTCAACTCTTGCTTTCAACCCCCAGGTTCCAGCAGGTCTGACTCCCAGCTCAGCACATCTCCTGGCTGCTCCTCCTGGAAGTGGGCTCTGGCCACCAGCAGCAGCAGGGGAACTTGTCTGTGCCCAGCTGTCACTCAGGCTGCTGCCTTTTATTTGTCTCTTGCTCGTCCATTGATCTTGTGTGAAAAGAAAATTCTCCATCACTCTGCTCTGTTATGTTTGCAAGCAAGGCAAATTTTTCTATTGTATTCTTTTGTCTGTTTGTTTGTTTTTTGTTGCTGTTACGTTCAAGTGATGCCCTCCTCCCCAGAGCTGGATCAGCACAGAACTGTTTCCCACTCCTACATTTCTCTGTTTAATGCACTGTATTGCACTTGGTGAATTACCAGATTTTATGCTTTCCTGGTGATTGTGAAGCAATAGCCGTTGTGTCTTGATTTCTCTAGAGACTTATTACTGCCTAGGGCAGCACACACTGCTAACCTACAGCAGCTATCATTTCTATTTCTGCACTGAATGAACACTCAGAGTATTTAGGGCCCTGATGTCCCGATCCTGTGGGCTATGGACGCTGTGGCCTTGGAAATGAGACAGAGTAACTGAAGATGGAGGAGCGTTTCATGAGAGTGAACTGATCAATTGTGTATCTGCAGCTTCTCTCTAGTTTGCAGCCTTTCACGAATAATGGAAGGTGTGCAAGATGAATGGCACGTTTGTCCCCGTCCTCCTCCTCCTCTCCCTCCCCCACTCCTTGTTCCACCCCTCCCCTACCTCACACCTGGATGCATCTGTCCCTGCCTCCAGGAGACAAAGCTGCTGTGGGCGCCATCCTGCTCGAACTGCGGGGACTTGTTTGCACAGTGCTCTGCTTACTGATGCCCTAGCACCAGGAGAACACAAAGTAAATCACAATCTCATTAAGCTCATGCTTAATGAATGTGTTGAAGTACCTTTCTGACTGGAGGAAGAAAGGTTGAGCATTGAACAATGTTGCTATGATGGTAAGGTAAGTGGATGAGGCGGTGGGTGTAGGTGCAGTTTGCAGGACTGGGCGGGCAGAGCACAAGCAGCCATTCCACTGTACAAAAGCTCAAATAGGATTTTATTGTCAGTTTGCAAAACAGATTTAAAAGATCTTCTTTATTTGAAGCAGTCACAAGTAATGACTCACCATTGGATAAGCCAGTTCCTGTCTACAAAAAGTAGTTAGCCTAGTTAACTAAGGTCACATTTCTGAAAGCAGTGCAAAAGAGCACGGAGATGTTTTTCTGTCTGCTGCAATGAGCAGAGCTGGCTCTGCAGTGTTCTCCGGCAGCAGAATGTTTGTTGCAGATCGGAGGCTGCAGGCAGCCCGTGGGGCTGAAGCCAGCTGCTTTGTGAGAGCAAAGCTTTGTCGTCATTTGGGGGGAGGAATTGGAGGTGATGCATCATGCATTGCAAATACCCCAGTAAAGTGAAAATCTGCAGTCAATACAGGAGGCCTGAGGTTTCAGCATTCACAACAGAAGCCAGCTAACAGAAGCACTGTGGGAGCTGTATCAGCCTGTGCCCCTTCTCCCAAGAAGCTCAACAGCAAACATTTGTGCTCAGCTGCTACTTTAAAACACCACAGTCACTGTTCCAACAGCCCTTCTGCTACCTCTTCCATCAGAACTGTGCCTACAGACCCCAAATGAGGCTGGGGTGCTCTGCCTTATCCAGAATAACAAAAACGTGCAATGGCAGGAAGAGAAGTTTGCACCTGCAGTGCCCTGCCCATTTATCTCTTCTGTTATTTGGTGCACTGTCAATACATGACCCAGCCCCACCACTCCAATTTTTCTTTCTGAATCAGTCATAAGACAAGTAAATGGGAACCAAAGGCAACTGGGTGTGATGCCAGTCAGCTCCTGCAGAAAGCAGCTCACCTCATACTTGGGGCCAAGTGAGAACAAGGAACACCCCTGACCTGTTCCTGATCACAGTGCAAGCAGAACCCTTTGGGCATTCCCTCTTTAAAAACAACAGCAACAACAGCATCACTGAAAGCTCGTTGAAGTCCACAGACCAAATCACCAGAACAGAAACAAGCAATGGGAGATGGCAGAGGTCTGAAGTAGCTGCAAAAGGAGCGTTAGGGCTTCAGAGGGGTTGGTTAGTTTGGTCTGTCATACCAGTTAAGAAAGCAGAGAAGTGAGAGAGTTTTGTATTAACAGAGTTCAAAAAAGAACATTCAGAGCTCTGATTCTGGCTGGAAGTTCTGTGTACCAAAGTAATACCAGAAGGAATAAAAAAATATCATCTACCAGGCAACTGCTGTGCAAGTTTGATGAGACACCCACTCCCACAACTCCAGCACCACTGCTCTCTCTCCAGCTTGCACACATACCCAGCACCAGCCATGTGTCTGTGCCTTGCAGCACGTTGCTCCAGCAAGCAGGCTATTACTTACTGCATTTTCTTTGCTATCTCAGACAACACAGAACAGCATCATTTTAACCCCCAACTCCATCTTGGATGCAACCACCTGGTTGTGCGCATGGAGTCCAACTCCTCATATTGTGCAGAGCAGGCAGTGCCCTGGATCATCACTGATCCTACAAGGATCATTACTGTGACAAACAAATAGTAAATCAAAGCAACCACTGCGTTTAGAGTTACCAGCATGAGGGACGTGCTCACCACACTCAAATTCCAGACTGGTTTTAGGCAGGCATTCCCATCTTTGCTTTTCCCCATGGTGAGTTTAACTCTCACCTCACTACTTACAGCTGTGAGGGCAAATTTATGCCATGTAGTTTTACACATCCAACAGTCAGCTAGCCAAGACTCAGCTGGCACTGTCTAGGCTCCCTGTGAAGTTAATCCAAATAAATGTGTATCTCCAGAAGGCAAATAACTGCAGAGCTGTGGATCCAGAGAGCAACTCCTACCAGGAGCTCTGCAAAACACTCTGATCCCAGATCCAATCTATTGCTGCAGTGTCAGAGATGAGTCTGCACTCAGACGTTCCCTTCCCAAATCACACTGCACAGCTGTTTCTCTCCTGCCTTCATGCAGTGAAGTCACCTCTCTGAAGCTTCAGGCCTTCAGGCTCAAGCTTCCTCAAGCTGCCAGCTTGGAATTCCGTCCATCTTCACCAGGGTTCTACTGGTGAAACAGCAACAGCGGCAACTACAGGAGACGTGACAGGATTTAAAATTTAGAAAATAATTTAAAAAACCACAACAGAACAGTGAGGTAGTGGTGACCTAATTTCCTAAACTTTATGCTAACCACAACTTTAGGGTTTCAGAGACTTTGGTGCGTTATCAGCTTGCTCTAAAAATGCCTTATCTGCAAACCAGAAATGAGCATATCGCAGCTTTCAGACAAGCACCATCCAAAACAAAATGGAAGAATGCCACAAACTTGCATCCCCCCGAGTAAAAACCCAGAAACTTTATTATTCATACCAAACTCTTATACACAAAAGCTCCTATGTCTTTAAAAACATCTTAGCTCTTAGTCCATCACAACAACAACGCGTCACACAAATGATCCCATGCTCAGACTCCTACAATACAGACTTCATCTTTGGTAAACTGTGTTAGAAAAGCGTTCATTTTAATATCGCTTTGAATCAGGTCAAGAGAAGAGTGGTAACTCTATCAGCCAGAATGCTGAAAATCAACTGTGGAGAGAAAGTATGCTATGAAAATGCAGAAAGCTGCTTGCTTGAGGCCATGATGCTGGAAGGCAGAAGAGGCCCCACTGAGCAAAGCTTCTGGAATTCCCTGAGGACGGCATTGCAGTGGTGAGCAGGAACCTGGGGATGTTGTGCACTCAGTGCTAAAAGCACTCAAGAGATTCTGCACCAGATAACAGTTCAGGTGCAGGGCCTTGAAAGAAGATCTGAAGGGAAGCCTATATAATAGATTAAAGAACCAGAGCCAAAGGGCACCGAAAGTGAAAACACTGCAGGGCAGCGTGAAATGAGATGAGCAGCAATCCAGAGACCACTTTAAACCTCTTAAAAATATACAGAGGTACTCATTTAATTACACATTGGACACAACCAAGAGCAGTTTTGGTTTGCTCTTCTCTTCCCTGTTTCAGCTCTTTACATTTGCACATCATGTTACTGTTACAGAACAACAACAAAACCCACCCAAAAAATGCAACTAAGCTGAACAAGGACTGGATCAGGGAAGGAACAGAGCCATGGCAGCTGTGTGCTGCACCAGCCCACCCTGCACAGTCACGGTGTCAGCACTCAGCCACAACCCACCGTGCTGCTCAGCAGGAAGGGTTGAGCCATTACACTGCTCACAAGGGGGTTTCTACTGAAAGCCAGGAAAGCAGCAGATATGCAGGGAGGAAAAGCACCTCCATCCTTAACTATGGCTCACAACGAGATATGTGACTGAGAAAGTTCACTGTGATACCCCAGAATCAGTGAAAAGCAAAGCATGTGGTCATTCTTACAGGAGGTACTGAAATGAAAGAGCAACATAGAAAGAAAAACAGAGGTAAACAGATTTGCTTCAGTGCTTGCTTAACTCAGACAAACGTAACTTGGAGAAGAAAACTGAAGTTTTTAACTGAGCTTGGAGGGGACTTACTAAACAGCAGGTCAGCCTGGATCCAGCTGAGCTCCTGGATCAGCTGTTTTCTGTTGGCCCAGTCTCCTGTGAAAAGCCAAGAACAGAAATTCAGCTCCAAGGGCTCAGAAATAATAAATCACAGAGAGCCCAGGCCACCTGAATTGTTTTTTTTTTCCAGGAAAGAAGGGAAGAATAAAGTTGTTCCAAAAACCTTCCTCAATTTTCCTTGTTCCACTACCAAGTAGACAAAAAGCATCAGCTTTTCTCATTTGCTCTGAGTTAAGTACCTCAAATGCTGTGGACTGCTGACATAGAAAACACGTTCTTAACACAGAACATTTCTTACATCCAGCCAAGCATTAGCAAAGCCTTTAGCCTCCCTCAATATCCTCTTCTTAAATTGCAGCCCTGAGCTCCCCTGCCACGCTGCTGCAGTTTTCCAAGTGATTATTACTCAGCAGAACTGCCTTGAGGACAGAGGAAGACACTTCTCATTGCTTCCCAGCTTCTAAGCACACATGTTTTAAGTCAACTGTTTTGCTTTTCTCCAGCCTTACTTCAAGCCTCGAGCACAGACATCCCTGGTTCCGTCTGGCCTTACTAATATTGCTAATGCAACATTTAAAGGCTGCTGCATGAACAGGAAACTGGGATCTATTTGTGCCCACAGGCCCCAGGCACCATTCCTCAGCTTGCCTCCAGCAAACAAATCCCTTGATAACAACAAGGCACGATAGGTTCACTTTTCCGTTTAAAGGAAATGGGCAAAACTCAGTGCCAATTTTCCAGCAAAATGTGCACTTCATTCCTTTTATAAGCAGCTCTTGCAGAGACAGTTACCCAGCAGTGGAAATAAAGCTAGGCAAGGAAACAAACCTGCAGGAACCAAGTCCTACTTGTCACACTGTCAGTGAGGCACTGAATCACCGCGTTCCAAGAGCCAACTTCAGAGCAAGCAGGCACCAATCTGTGAACCTCATGAAAACCAAACACCAGCATTATATGCAATGCACACGCATGCACAGTCCTGTCTTGCTTGGATTTGAGAAACAAGGTCCTGAGGTAAGGTTGATTAGAATAGCTTATCTTCTGAATAACAGCACAGGGACATTCTCCTGCTTAAGTACAATGAGCAGAGTTCTCTCCAGAATAGCCCAGGCTCTTCCGCTGTAGCACCAGGCAGACCAGAACCGTGACAGCTCTGCACTGAAGAACCCCAGCATTTATTTCAGCCACCAGGAGCAATTTCTCCCAGTACGTACATTCCATAAGATCAGAACTTACAGCATCAGGAAAATTCTATTTCAGTCTTTAGAGAACGCAGTAAGCCTTAAACATGCACCCAGGAATCTTCTGATGCTTGACGTCTGTTTCCACGTGAGCCCATGGAGGTACGTGCACAAACCCCACTGTTTGTTAGCAGGACGGGAAACCCTGGTTTGAAAACACACCCCAGAGTGTTCTGGTGTTAACAGAAACATTACCAAATGCATGATAATAAATTCTATCTCAGAAAATACTGGCCTACTAACTGTTGCCCAGGATTCTTATCAGTCAGAAGCAGTGAATCCCTTGTCTCATTCACCATATGGGCAGCACTCTCGGTTCGTCTGAAGAACAGGACATTACACCATCCCACCTTATGGCAGAAGAGTGAATTATAAAGATACTGCAAGACTCAACTGCACAAAATGCATATAATATGGAAAGAGAAGCCCATATTCCAAAAAGCTTTGATCCCCCTGAAAATTAACATCCAGATGGAGCATCCATGCGTCCAAATGTGGGTGCCACAGACTGAAATCACTGCAACAATGGCACAGAGAGGCCTCCTTGCTCTGGTACCTACCACAGACAGACAGACAGCACCTGAGATGTGATCTGTGGAGAGAAGAGGAGCGCTCTTGGTGGAAGCCAGGTGACCCAGGACCACTCCTGAGGAATCTGCAAACCAGCACAGAACTGCAGAGCACATCTCCAGCTGCTTTTTGCCTCTGCAAGCTCCCACTGAGCCACTGCAAATGACCCAAAATCTTTGCTGCAGCCTTTGGACTTACTTCTCTTGTGCCAGCTGCTCCCCACAACTGTGGGGTGTCCTGGGCACCCTGCAATAAGCTGTAGAATGGAAGGAGCAAAGAGATGCTCATCCCTAAAGGGGCACTTGCTCATCCACAAAAAGTGAAAAGAAACACAGCAGGGGTAAATCAGCTCTGAAGGAACACTTCTACTGTTTCCATGGAAAGGAAAGGACTTGGGATAGAAAGCAGAAAAAAAGACTTATCCCCAGGTAGCATGGGTCACTCTATGCTGCTCTAAGGGTTAGACTAGGTGAGACAGAGGTGAGACAGGGAGGTCACAGCGAGTCCCCCAAAAGCTGGGCAACACCTGCAGGTGGCACATGGACAGTGCAGGATGGGTGGTGCAGTGGAACTGCCAGGTCACAGCCTGAACCACTGCGTGAGCACATGAGTACCTCGAGCGGGGGAGCCTTCCTCTCTCTCCATCTCAGCAGTGCTCCCAGCAGCACACGTACAGTCAGTCTGCACAGGTCTCCCCCCCAGCCCCTCAGCCCCCTCTCACCTTTCAGCACACCATAGTTCAAACACAGAAGGCTGCATTCCTCAGCTCACCACTTTCTTCAAAACTGTTGCTGGGAGGGATGAGTCGATTCCTCTTTCTTTGATATCCTGTTCTATAGCTCCTCTATCTCAAATAAAGGCTCTGTCATCGCCTCTACAGGTGGCTTGCTGTACAAGCAAGTTTGCTTTACAGGTGGGAAGGGGCAGAGGACATCTGTAACAATCAGAACGATCAGTGCAGTGGAAGGAGGTGTAACCACAAAGGGACTAGCACAACAGAAAGGTGTTACAAAGACAAAGGAAAGCGCTCACCTGTCTCTGAAGATCCAGGCTCACAGGGAAAACTCCACAAGGGAGGGATCTCCAACCAGAGATCCTTGCCCACGCAGAGTCAGCCCTTCAATGAGGTCTAGGAGAGGTGCAGCCAGGCTCCCCTCATTCCATCATACAACTGAACTGCCCTCACCTGTGCTCCCAGGGCTGGCTGGATCCTTTCCCCAGATGCTCCATCAGTGGTTCAGGCCCTGACTCTACACTTCCCAGACGGCATTTCTCAACAAATAACAGCCAAAGGGGGAAACGGTTATTCCCCTGCTGTTTTCCATGCTGCCCGTAACTATCCCACCTCTGCTGTGCTGGTTGGCAGAGCTGACAACAGGATCTTCTCACGAGCCAGCAGGATGAGGAAGTGAGCAGAGCTTTTGGAAATGTGCCTGCTGTCAGGGTGGGAGTTTGGGCCTGCCCCAGCACCACGCATTTCCACCACACGACACGGGAGGTGGCAAAGGTGTCGGAGCCAGTGGAGAGCTGGTGGAGCAGGAGGAAGCTTGCATGCCTGGCAGTTGGGGGGGACAGGAGGTAGCGGCACACATCACAGCCATGGGCAGTGCAGACAGATGGCGTTGGACATGATGTACGGGGTCTTGATGACTGGGGCTTCAGGGGCTGGCCGTGGTCACTGTGGAGAAGGGAAGAGCGTGGACAGCAGTTGTGGAGACAGGGCACCTACCCTGGGCTGCAGCCCCTACAGCAGAGTTGCAGGGTTTCAGGCTGCACAAAAACCCCTTTGTCTCATTTCGTCTTCAGAGTGACTCAAAATCGAACCCCAGCACTGTCACAGCCTGGGCAGAGCTCAGCAAAGGAACCCTAAACCTGTCAGCTCCCTTCCTACACCCCTCACATCACTTAAAGAATCCTCTCTTCCTTCAGCAATCCTAACCTCTCCCCAGGGGGCTGGGACCAAAGAGCTCTTCCTTGGTCAAGAACTCTCCATCCAACTCTCAAAGCTCTAACACAGCTCAGGCGTCTTCAGCTTGGTCATACCAGCAGTGAAGTGCACGCACCCACCTGCCACAGCTTTGCAAGAAGGCACCACTCCCTGCTGAATTATCTGACGGGCCAGGTATGTCACACTAACAGGGAGAAAAGAAGAAGAAAAAACAACTGAGAGATGGAGAAAAAGGCCCTCACTAAACTCAGGACCTTGGGGCTCTCTCTAGGACACCTGGTGTCTCAGCACAGTTCACAGTTACTTCAAATGCACACAGCACCTACAAAAGCACCGCGCTCCAACAAGGAAGGAAAGCAAATCCACGATGCTCTGCAGGGCTCCCAGCTCTCAGCAGGCGACGCCTGCTCCGTGCACAGAGCATGCACAGAAACTGCACCTCATCTCTTCCCCATTTATCCCCACACCACTTCTACAGGCATTGTGGAAAGGCAATGGAAGGCTCGTGGAGAAGACTGAATGCACAGGAGATTTCTCACTTCTCTGGTGCGAGAGCACTGCTTGTCTAGACGACAAATATTTTTCAAACAAGCACCAACCAACCATTGCAACTAACAACTGAAATGGCATTTCCCTGCAAAACCAAACCAACCAAAGAGCAGCCTGTCCAGAGGCCCCTCCTCACACACTTGCCAAAAAGGCCACAACCATTTTTCCATTTGCCAGGCTTACTCACAGAACTGCAGGCTTCTCCTCACCATGGAGACACAACGTGGACACAAACGGGCTGCTGGTGCAGGGAAGGCAATTTCACCTGAGCATCTCACCACAGACGCTCCCTGCGCTCTGCTTTCCTGCAAAGATACAAGGAGAAAAGCCTCAGCTCCTCCGAGCAACAACTGGAAACAACTCCAGAAAATCCCCCACCCAAAAGCAGTTCCTGGAGAGGCACAAAGCAGCCCTTCAAGGTTCACATGTGCTTACGCTGCGGCCTTCGCACAAACACGCTACCTTTGTGCTCCTGGCTCCTCAGGGCTCTTTTTCATCACCTCCTGGGCACAGCGCAATAGCTTTTCTTGTACAAGACTATGACCTATGTACATTCCTCCATCCCAAAATAAAGTCTGACATAGAGTTGCGGTGCAGAGATTGGATGCAAAGCACAGCCAAGAAACATGATCTGAAATGTGAAAGAATGCTTCTAGCAAGGAACAAGATCATGCAAAGAAAGGAGCAGGAAAGAAAACCAACCAACAAATAGGAAACAAAGACAATGGAAAGCAAAGCAGAAAGGCTCGCTGCAGGAAAACCAAAGAGGCAAAACAAAACAAAGAAGGAAAACAAAGCAAAGCAAAACAAGGTCGAGAGGTACAAGAGGAAAGCCAGTGAATTCAATAGACGATCAGGGCAAAGCAAAGAATCCAAGCAAAGGAAACGGATAAAAAAGCTCACCAATGCATAGCAATGGAAAGAAAGAACAAGAATTTAAAAGCAATACAGGGCCAAGATATTAACGCAAAACCAAAGAGCAAACCAAAGCCAAGCAAAACCAGGAAAAAGAAAGTACTAAAAAGCCAAGGAAAGCAAAGCAAAATCACCTGAAAACCTCGCAAACAGAAGGGAATGTGCTTAGGAAAGGAAAAAGGCCTTCAAAGAACAGAAACAGAAGGGAGAAGAAAATCAACAAAACTGGAAAAAAAACAATGCATTGCAATGCAGAAGGAGCAGGAAATCAAGACAGAAACAGCAGAAAAACAACAAGGAAAACAGAAAACAAGAATCACAGAATGGCCACAGTTGGAAGGGACCTCAAGGATCACGAATCCCCAACCCCCTGCCACATACAGGGCCACCAACCTCCCCATTTCATACCAGACCAGGCTGCCCAGGGCCCCATCCAACTGGCCTTGAACACCTCTAGGGATGGACGGGGCATCACAGACTCTCTGGGCAGCTGTTCCAGCACCTCACCACTCTCATAGCAAAGATTTTCCCCCTGACATCCAACCTCAATCTCCCCTCCCTCGACTCCAAACCATTTCCCCTTGTCCTGCTGTTATCTCCCCTTGCACAGAGCTGACTCCCCTCCTGTCTGTAGGCTCCCTTCACTTCAGGCACTGCAGGCTGCACTGAGGTCACCCCGCAGCTTTCTCTTCTGCAGGCCGAACAAGCCCAGCTCCCTCAGCCTGTCTTCGGAAGGGAGCTGCTCCTGCCCCCTTCTCATCTCTGTGGCTCCTCTGGCCCTCTCCAACAGCTCCCTGTCCTTCTTGCACTGGGGCTCCAGACCTGGACGCAGCCTCCAGATGGGGCCTCACAAGAGCAGAGTTGGGAGCACAGGGGGGACGATCACCTCCCTGTCCCTGCTGGCCACCCCTCTTCTTCTGGCCCTTTCCTGAGCCCCAAGGCCACCCATTAGGAAGACCAACAAGGAAACGGGGGAAAACCAGCAGAATTTCAGGGGAGAGCCGACCGGTTCATCGCCCCACAATTGCCAGCTCAAGCAAGGGACTTTTTGACCGGAAAGCTACGGAAAGAGGCAGCACCATTTGAAAAGGTTGGTTTCACTTTTATTCAATACAGAAGGATTTGGGTTGCATTTATCAACACAGCCCAAAACGAAACCCCAGTGTCCAGGATTTCTGCTTAGCAATGAGTCATTCAGCCACCAGGCAGACACAAGGAGAAGCCTGATCCTATGGCCACGTCACCTCCTCTCTCTCCAGGCCTGGCTAGCCGTATTTCAATCTCATACTAGACCGGCTCTGGCCCTGAAGAGACACATGCTGAAGGAACGCAGCATCACCATCTCTTGCCATAGCTGAAGTCCTGCCTCTGGCAAGTCCTCTTTGCTTGGAATGCAGCACAAGCCCTTCCCTTCCAGGTGCCTCAGTTCCTCTGCACTGTCTGTGAAAACCAGGCAACTCAGTCCGCTGCCTTTGGTGCCATCTCCGAGGAAGCATTCCAGCTGATTCGAGTGTCCTGTGGGCCTTCTCGCTCAAGCCCTGCTCGGTTCTTTTTGCTCTCCTTCTTGGCTTCCTTCCTCAGCCGAGCAGCACTTGCTTTGGGGTTTCTTCACTTTCTCCCAAGTCTGAGTCCCAAGACTGTGCCAGTCCGACAAGAATCAAGGCAGAAATGGTCAGGGAACCTTCACAGGTAACAAGTGGCTGACAGCTCGCTTGGGGAGCTCAAGTCACCCGCCTGGGCAGCTTTGGCTGCCAGCACTGGAAACCGCCTTCCTGGCATCAGGGCACGCCAGAAACTCCACCTCTATCTCGTTCCCAAAAGTCCCACACAAACCAGAACCCAAAGCCATCTCCTGCAAGGCAGCGCCTGCACAGGGCTTGGACACTGCCTGGCAGCACACACAGCACAGCAGCAGCAGATGAGCTTGCATCCCAAGATCCTGGCGTGCATCAGGAACACGCGCACACGGAAGGAAGGGCAGGACAAACGATGGCACTCTCAGCAGTGCCAGGCACAGCACCATAGGCCACAGCTACAGATTGTTCCCTCCCTGCCCATTGCCCGTGCCTTTCTATCAGCCTCAGAGAGCACGACTTACTGGCTTATGGCACCTGGAAACGCAGAGAAGCTGCAAAGTGTCTCCACAGAAGAGATGGTGGCACAGCACATTCTCTGCCAGCGTGGGCTCAGGGATCTCAGCTGGGGAGAAATGCCCTTCAGCAGCCACACAGCAGGCAGCCTGCACAAAACCTGCAGCTGCACCATCTTTTCCACCTGCCGAGGACAAGACTCCTCAAGCTTGAGCACTGCTCCACTTGCAGGCGAGAGGAGCAGGAGCTGAAAAGGACAGGAGGACATGAAATAAGGGAAAAGCTTAACAGAAAGCAGACATGCTGCAGACAGTGCCACCAGCTGTGTTTGAACAGCAATGCCTTAGCGCACGCTCACAGTAAGGCACACCTACCTTGCAAGGGCCGCGCAGGAAGGTTGTGACACAGGCACCCATTGCTCGATTGCTCCCCTGAGTCCCAACTCCATTTCTCAGCCACTCACATTCCTCGATGTTCTGCAACAGAAAAGTCACAAGACGGAAATTCAATTCATTGCAGACGTCCTCAAACCTCCCTTCTCAGGGCAGTCACACTCATTTCTCTGCATGAGAACCTGGGGAGGGCTTACCGAGTGAGCAGCATTTACTGCCAGTTGGCAGCAGCAACCTATTCCTAACTCTAAACTCCTAACAGTAACCTAGGCCTAACTCTAAACTCCTAACAGTAACCTAGGCCTATTGCTAAAACTAAACTTAACACTAAAACTAAGCTAACAATGAAATCAACAACCAAACCCAGAAGTGGGACCTAACTCCTACAGGGGGAATATGGAACTGGGGGCCCGCAGAACCGCAGAGGAGCAACAAGGTGGAGGAGGAGCAGATGTTAGCAAGGCCACCCAGCTAATGCCGGGGGCGGGGGCCACGCAGCGGGTAAGGAGCCGAGCGCCCGGGCCAGCGATGGCGGAGCTGTGACCGCGCCAACACGGGGCCTGGCACGGTGGTGTGGTGCCAGGCCAGCTGTGCCGCAGGCGGATCCACCTCCATGGGCTCCTCTGGAGGCGGATCCACCTCCATGGGCTCCCCATGGTTGCTCACAGCGCTGGCCCGGGTGCGATGGAACCGGGCTCCCTTCCTCCTCTCCCTCCGCTGCCTGATGGTCATGGTGGGCCCTCTCCTCCTCTTCGGTTCTGGGGCCCCCAGCTCCCTCTTCCCATTTAAAACCACCCTCTCCTCCTCTCTCGCTCTCTTCGTGCTGGACATGGCTGCCACCTGCCCAGCACTCTCAGAGACGAGTGCGCTGGGTGGGGCAGCAGTGACCAAGGTGACGGCTGTGACATGGGGAAGGTTCCACAATGGCACCTGTGCTGCTGGGAGCGGCGTTCCGCACAGGATGAGGAGGGGGCTGCAGGGCACGGGACGGCAGCTGGAAGCGCTCCCTGTGCCCAGCGGGCAGCCCTTCTCTGCGGCCAGCAACAGGGCACAGAGGAGCCTGTCACGGAGTTGACCAGATCAATCTATGTCCGTGACAGGGGGGACAGGCCTCTGCCCTCCCCCCCCACCCCAGTCCCACAAAAAATGGGAAGGAAGGAAGGAAGGAAGGAAAAGAGCAGCGGCAACAATCTATGGAGGAAAACTTATTTTACTATAATATTGGAATACAAAATAACACAATATATACAATTTAATTGAAATTGAGATTAATAAATCAGACAAGATGAGAGAGAGAGTTCCCGGGACCGATTCAAACCTGAAAAGCTTGGAACAGCTAGGAAAGCACCCTCCAGCACCCACTGCCAGGCAGCAAGAGAGCGCCCCCCCCACCCGGAAGGGCCAGATCCCGTGACTGCTGTAATGTACAGGGATAGGTACTTGGAATCCCAATTCCTATTGGGAAACCATGACAAGCCGAACCTGAGGAAGGGTTTTCTGTACAATGATACAGAATGCAAGCTGTTAAAATAGAAGTTATGTATCCCAGAATTTACCATAAAAAAAAAACAGTTTTTATGCATCGGAAAACGTTTTGCTCATTTTCAGACTGCACAGAGAATCCACAGCTTGGAGTGGATTCTGGCCCTAGAATACGCACCAGCTGCTGATGGGGGTCTGCGGGTGTGGGTGGAGGTGGTCTGGAAGGCCTGGGAGGTCGAGAAGGTCTGCAGCTTCCACTGGTGAGAAGAGGGGAATCACTGCCACTAACAGTCTTGTTTTCATTTGAAGCAGCAGCTTCAGAGCTGTCCAGGCCCTTTGGGTTAGTCCTCTGTAGGAAAAGACAGAATGGAGAACCACAGAATCACAGAATCACAGAATTGTAGGGGTTGGAAGGGACCTCCAGAGATCATCGAGTCCAACCCCCCTGCCAAAGCAGGTTCCCTGTAGCAGGTCGCACAGGTAGGCATCCAGGCAGGTCTTGAACATCTCCAGAGAAGGAGACTCCACCACCTCCCTGGGCAGCCTGTTCCAGTGCTCCGTCACCCTCACTGTAAAGAAGTTCTTGCGCATATTTGTGCGGAACTTCCTATGCTGCAGTTTCCAGCCGTTTCCCCTTGTCCTGTCTCCACTCACCACTGAAAACAGTCTGGCCTCGCCATTCTGCCCCCCACACCTTAGATATTTATAGACCTGGATCAGGTCCCCTCTCAGTCTCCTTTTCTCAAGGCTGAACAGACCCAGTTCACTCAGCCTTTCCTCATAGCAGAGATGCTCCAGGCCCTTCACCATCTTCGTGGCCCTCCGCTGGACTCTTTCCAAGAGATCCTTGTCTTTTTTGTACTGGGGTGCCCAGAACTGGACGCAGTGCTCCAGATGAGGTCTTACCAGGGCAGAGTAGAGGGGGAGGATCACCTCCTTCGACCTGCTGGCCACGCTCTTTTTAATGCACCCTAGTAAGCCATTGGCCTTTTTGGCCACAAGGGCACACTGCTGGCTCATGGCCAACCTGTCATCCACCAGGACACCCAGGTCCCTTTCCGCAGGGCTCCCCTCCAGCAGGTCATCCCCCAACCTGTACTGGTGCATGGAATTATTCCTCCCCAGATGCAAGACTCTATACTTGCTTTTGTTAAACCTCATCTGTTTTTTTTCTGCCCAGCTCTCCAGGCTGTCCAGGTCTTGCTGAATGGCAGCACAGCCTTCAGGCGTGTCAGCCAATCCTCCCAACTTCGTATCATCAGCAAACTTGCTGAGGGTGGCCATCAAGGCCTCATCAAGGTCATTGATACACACAGATTCTCCCCCTAAGCTCAGTTCTGGATATCGCCAGAGAATTAGCACTAACCGTCAAGGTTTTGACGAGGAGCGATGAATTAATCATCAGCATCTCAACTTTTCAAGCCCTTCACTTCAATAGCTGCCTTCATTCACTTGGCACTGTGCAGTTACACCTAGCAGTGCAGCAGTCTGATACATCTGTACCCCACTGAGCACAGTTCAACGCATCTACACCTTCCTGTCTAAAGCACTGAGGTAATCCAGTGGATTGGCAGGTCAAACACGGAGGCCATAAGGTTTCATTTCAGACCAACGCCTTCAAAATTACCTTCTTATAAACACCCTGTAGGTAGGCAAGCCTAGTTAAACCACAAGGCGTAAGAGATCCAGTAGAATCACCCACTGACCTTAGCATCCATGTCAAATGTACCTTTGCCCCATCCCGGGTGTGGTACACGTGACAATTCACACCGCGCCACAACAACCTGAAGCGAATGACCGTCATGCACAAAGCCTTGGGGATGTGCAGTCTGCACAACCATCGCCTCGCTTTCCCTTGGCCCTAGGAAGTGCTGCTGCTGCTTGAATGTTACTGTCAAAAGTGAAGCCTTTCCTCTTTGGTGTTTTGGCTTCCATCAGGCTTTTTAAGACAACACTGCACATGAAATGTAATCCTGCACTCAGCACTAAGTGCTGTAGCTATGTTCCAGAGCACTTACGTGATCCTTACAACGGATCCTTCAGGAACACCAAAAGCTCTGTTAGGTGGGACTAAAACCACACAAGCTCTTATCACTATTATTGGGCATTCCGTACCCAAGCAGGGAAGCACTTTTCTGAGCAAAGAAAGGAAACAGAACTAGATAAAACTTCTACAGGAAGACTCCAGGCTACTCAGCTAAGTGAGCCGTGAGTTCTCCTGCCTTCTTACACATCAACTCAGCTATTCCAGAGCTCATCTGAGCGTGCTGCACATGGTACAAACACTTAACATACTCGCAGGACTGGAAACCCATCAAAGTGGCTTGGTGCTCACTGCATGTGGTCACTCCTATCCCACCAGGTTGCATGGGGCATCATCCCAAATCAGTCTTCAAACTGCAACTGTTCTCTTTCGGTATCTTCTCAACAAAGCAAACAGTTCTGATACCTCCGTGCTGTGAAACAGAAATGTAAAAGGCATGCACCGTGCTGTTTGTGCACCAGAGGCACTTCTTTAAGGATTATATTTATTTTTATGCAGTCTGATTTGTCGCTGGGAAACTAAATCTCAAATAAATCTTTTTATTTTGGGCTTTTCGTTTGTATCCTTGACTCGAGAACGGAAGCTGCACTCAGCACACATTAGAAGGAGAAAAACTGCCTACTGCTGCTGTGCTCCCTGAAACAGTTCTGCACAGCAGGGACAGTCAAGTTAAGAGACTCAACCACGTGTCCTCAAAACAGAACAGAATTTGCCCATGATACTGAAAACCTGCACTCAGCTCAAGCATTTTCACAAGAGCTATAAATCCAAGAATACCGTATGTGAAGTGGCTCAGTTTTTGAACTAGGAATGTCGACTGATGTATGAGAGCCAATGCAATACCATGCTTATTTCAGTCCTTTTAAGGCAGAAATTTACTAAGCCAGCTGCTGTGGCAGCCGAAACCTTACTGGCCTCATCAACACTGCACTCCTAACACCAGGTGCTGTCCTCACAACAGAGGCAGCAGGATACACACGCACCTCACAGCAGCACACTCAGTTGCTCAGTGAAGATTAACTGAACCTAAGCTAAACCTTTCTATGCAACCTTCCCAGCTGTGGCTCCGTACCTGTGAGTGCTTGTAAAACATGCCAACCGTATGCGCTGCTGGACTCAGCCACACCAAAGCACCTGTTCTGATGCCCAAGGCTGACAGTCCACGCAGTTGTACAACTTTAAACGAAGCAGATAAAGAAAAACCTGCCAACAGTCAGTTTCCAAATGCAAAGCCAGCGCTCTCACGTTACGTTGAGCGAGTACAGAGCAGTTCTGCTGAATGCTGGAAAAAGGGTCCTACTGCTGGTTACGTTAAAGAAAGTTGCAATTAACTTGCTCTGAAAGACAATTCCGTATCTGAATGTAAACAGTACAGTTCTTCTTAAGGACGTGCTCAGAACTTCACAAATTGTTCAGTCATCGTGTTTGTAAACCGTGCAGCCCCTCGTTCAGAAATGCAAACGTTGAGTGCAAAAACCAGGGAAAAAAGTCTTACCGAGCACCATTTCTTGCTCTTTCTTCCTCTGAAATCCTCTCCCCGGCTGGTAGCAAATTCCTGCAGCTTGAGAACCGCTCTCTCTGACCTGCTCCATTCCCTTTCTCTGTGCACAGGGTAGCAGAAAGGCATTGGAGCAGGTCCAAATTTGGCTGCTCTCCAGAAAGTGTTCCAGCAATTCAGATGAATATTGTTCATCTAATATAGCAATTAGATTTGCAAACGTTTCTCAACTGCTCATTCAGCTACCTTGCAAGCGTTTGCCTGTTGTGCCAGCACTCGCAACGTGCAGCACTGAAACGCTCACGTCCGTAGCACAGATACTTCATCCCACTGAACTGAACGACTGCCATCAACAAGGAAATCAGTTACCAGCTCCCAGCTGGTGGGAACTAACAGCAGCTGTGAGCCACAAAGTGGGATGTAAGCTCTCACCGTGACCTGCTGTTCAAGGGAGCTATTCTACTTCCAGAAGCAGAGACTTCACTCCAAAGGCTGCTCAGGCAACAACGCACGGCCAGTCAGAGCCCTTACGCTGTGCAGCACGTTACACGGCACCTTTTCAAGGTCTCTCTCTTTTCTCACCTGCTCCACACACCTCATCGTCGTGGAACCCTCTGCTGAACTGCTTTCCAACAGCTGCCCTGCACATGGAGCACAAAACTGTATTCAGTCCCACTGTCTGCGTGACTTTTCCTACTTGCCAGCATTTTGTTCTCAGTATGTTAATTTAAGGCAATGGTTTCCCATTGTTCTTTCACTTCTTCCAAGCACTGCACCTGAGGGAAATCTCTTACTTTCACCTCAGCCCTGCTCTACAAGCCTCACGGTATTTGGGCTTTCTTTTGAAAAAGCAAAACAAACAACAAAATCACACTCCATCAGAGCACGCCATCCATCTTTTAAACACACTTACGTATTTGGATGCAACCAGAAACTGACTTCATTTAGTCCTACAAAAAAACAAAAACACCTCTCTGGCACAAGCCAACTCATCGTCCAGCTGCTTTCCACCACAGAGAGCCTGTTGCATCCTGCAGAAATCACCTCCCATCCAGTTCTAGTCTGCACACTGCGCCACCCTCACAAGTGCGCCTCTGTCTGTCTCAACCAAAGGAACTGGAACGCCTTACTTTCATTTTAGTGTCCTGACACATTTTACACTTACTGAAGGCTTTCGGTTAAAGACTGTCCTTGACTTAAAGATTATCCGAGACCAATTAAACAGAAAAAAAGAGTGCATCTCCCTCTCCAGCAAAAATCTGTGTAAGCATTTCATTGAGATGCCTAACGAAAATTCAATACAAAGCTGTTTCCTAGCCAGAACGCTTATTACTGTGAGACTACATTTATCCGTTCTATATTGCTTTTCTGCTTGTAGGCTTATGAAAATTGAGGGAAGCTAAAGGCCTTCGTTACAGTAAGGCACAAGGGTAGCTCGTAATTGCTAAACAAAGTAAGCAAAGTTCAGAAAACTCAGGTGCTGATCTGATTGACGTTACAGGAATGCTGATAATCGCTGCTGATTATGACTCCACTCAAATAAAAGCACACAAAAGCTCTGGTCTCTACAAACACCAAGTCAATTAAACCACTCATTACCATCACTAAAACACTGCATCCAAGCATTCGGTAAAAAAAATCTCATGTAGATACCAGATCTCACGTAGATACCCGATCTCACGTAGATACCAGACCTCACATAGGTGGTACATTTAAGCTGAAAGTCACTCACTTCCTGTACTTGAGGCATCACCACTGGTCAGGAGCTCAGCATCTACCTGCATCCTGTCCACACGGACAGACAAATCCACCACTTCTGCTGGCTCTCTGTCACCAGGAAGATGCAGTGTTACCACTACCTGATCAACTGAAAAGTACAAGAAGAAAGTCTGGGTTTACCTTCATATATAATGAAAGAGGTCACAGTAATCAAGAAAAAATACACCACTTCTGCTTGCACTCTGCACAATTGCTTACACCTCGTGATACAGCCAATCACTCCCAGGTGTCAGCAAACTTATTATTCCTACAAAGCAGGGAGAACCAGAGCACAAGCTTTTTGCTGCCTAAAGGAAGGTGTGTCTTTATAGGAGAAATGCAGACTCTGGTTCTTGCCCACACTTCTTCAGTAATTAATATACCTGTCCTTGACGAGCTGTAGATAGAAGGTGTAATTCACCTCATTCTTCATTCAGAACAGCTACCAAGTCTATCTTGGGAGTAAAACATTGCACGTTTATCTCGTGACATGTAGTTTTGCATTTTGAATGTGAAGATTCTGTATCACATCCCTAGGTCAGAGGTGCTTTTTGGGTACATCCCAGTGTTTTGTTGAAATGCAATGGTAAACAGGCCTGCCTGAATCAACATCCAGTAACACACAGCATGACACCCGTCGTTACACAGAGCAGAGGAGTTATAATTGTCAGCTACAATCACAACAGGACAGCGACTACCAGGAGAAAAGCGCACTGCAGTGCTACTAACGTGCTGCACTTGGAGTGCCCACATCTGACAGTCAGGAAGCAAAAGTCAGAACAGGTGTGCAGCGTGCTGTAGCAGCACCAATTTGATCGTGGCTGTGATGCTCCACTTGGAAGCTCCACAGTGCACATACTGCCTAGAAGCTCACTGGTTCTAAGGCACGTTACACGGTACAACGTGCACCTGTGTAACACTACTTACAACATCAACTGCAGTCACTCATTTTCTCACCCAGCACCAGAAACCTATCAGTTTTTCGGCTATGTAAAAGGAACCACTCTTTCATTACACTTTCACTCCTGCACATAAAAGCAAAGTGAAAAACATCAGGCTTCCAACGATACCGTGACAGCTTGTAAAGAAATAAAGATGATAACAAAGGATTGTGAGGATGCTCAGAAATGCAATCCGTAGCAACAAAAGGAACACTCAATGCCCACCGCAGAGTTACACGCTGCACTCAATCTTGTACTTACGCTTCATACTGTTTCACTTCAAAGTTTCGTGAATATCCAGGGCAGCACTTCCCAGGAGGACATCAGACTTCAACGTTTGATGGCTCCAGACTCACAAGGTTGATTTACTCAGAGGAGTGACAATTCTGAAAAAAGAAATTGAGCACTAGTGTAAAGGTTTTTGGGTGAACTGAGCAATGTACACCAACTGTCACTTACAAATTATTTAAAAAGGCAGAGTACAAACTGTGGCAATGTGAAAAGCCTCCTTTGGCTGATAAGGTCATAGAACCACGATGCCGGAATCTCTGCCCAGCACGCAGGCAGCTCCATTTGTCTGCTGGTGGCACAGACCGTGAGTGACTGCCCCTAGAGAAGCCACCAGCAGGGCCACGTCTTGATGCAGAAGAAGAGGTAGGCTCCTGAACAGACTGCTGCTGAGTGCTGTCCTTCACTTGTGTTTGTACAATTCCCACCCTTCGTTGCTAAGCTACGTTGTTCAGTACTGTGAGTGAAGCTTTCTTTCTTTCTTTCTAGGATTGGTGACTTGTGCAGCAGATGCAGCAGGCATCTTGGGCTGCCCAAGCTTCCGCAGTGAACGTGTCCTGTTCCTGGTAAAGGTGTGGACGTTCCTGGACGTGAAGATATCTTCATGCGTTTCCATCTGCCCAGTCCCTCACCTGATACTGTTGGCCTTCGGGGCTACCCTGAGTTGCTGCATTGGCAGCAGATAACTGCTGGTTTGACTGCCTTCAGGGCTGTCAGGAAAGATGTCTTCTGCAAAACCCCTGAGCTACCAACTGCCAAGGACGTTGGTATGCTCCCAGGAATGACAGGAAGCAGATCATGGATGCGCAGCTACGGGATGTTGGTAAAGCCCAATATCTTCTATCTTTCCCTTTTCCATCCCCATTTCCACTCCGTCCTCATTCCGCTTTATCCCCTTTCCCTTCGCATCCCCATTTCTCCCCTCTTTCTCCCCCCTCTGTCTCCCCCTCTTTCTCCATCGCCTTTTCCCCGCCTTTTCTCTTCACCTTCCCTCAGCCCCGTTTCCGCAGGTTCCGCAGTGAGCGTGTCCTGTTCCTGGTAAAGGTGTGGGCGTTCCTGGACACGAAGGTATCTATCTTCATGCCTTGCCCATGTGCCCAGTCCCCCACCAGATGCTGTTTGCCTTTTGGCCCCCCTGATTTCTGCACTGCTGCGACCTGATCCTTGCAGAGGGGTAAGTGACACCTTTGTCCCTTCCGGAAAGCGCTCTCCACTTTCCTCTCGTTGATCATCGGCAGCGCCGTCCCGCCCTCACCAGCCTGTGATTGGTCCTCAGCAGCACCGTCCCGCCCTCGCCGGCCTGTGATTGGGCCTCAGCAGCGCCGTCCTGCCCTCGCCAGCCTGTGATTGGTCATCGGCAGCGCCGTCGCTCCCACGCCAGCCTGTGATTGGTCATCGGCAGCGCCGTCGCTCCCTCGCCAGCCTGTGATTGGCCATCGGCAGCACCGTCCAGCCCTCATCAGCCTCTCATTGGTCATCGGCAGCGCTGTCCCACTCCCGCCAGCCTCTCGTTGGTCATCGGCTGCATCGTCCCGCCCTCGCCAGCCTGTGATTGGTCATAGGCAGAGCGTCCCGGCCCTCCAGCGTCTCATTGGTGAACGGCAGCACCGTCCCGCACCTCCAGCATCTCATTGGTCATCGGCAGCACAGTCCCGCCCCATGCGCCTCTCATTGGTCACCGGCAGCGCTGTCCCGCCCTCGTCAGTTCATACTGTCCGCATGCCCGGCTCTGCCCAGTGCTGATGGAATGTCAGTGCCACCTGCTGCTCTCAAAAAAAAAGGTAGGTTCGATTCCTTTTGGCTTCCATAGCATTTGCTACACTTTTATTCTGTCTCTCTTCTCTTTTTTCCATGTTGCCTGGTGGCGCCTCGCTGGAGTTCCCAGGAAGCCAGTGCACGCTTGTGACCAAGTGAGATGCAACAGAAGAGGTAGGCTCCTAAAGGGGCTTCTGCTGAGTGCTGTCCTTGACTCAAGGTTTCTACAATGACCAGCCTTTGTTGCTAAGCCTCGTTGTTGAGCACTGTGTATGAAGCTTTCTTCTTTCTTTCTAGGCTTGGCGACTCCTCCACCAGATGCAGCAGGCATTTTGGGCTGCCCAAGCTTCTGCAGTGAACGTGTCCCGTTCCTGGTAAAGTTGTGGGCGTTCCTGGATGTGCCCAGTCCCCCGGATCCCTGCCGTCTCCTGTTTCACACTCTCGCTGAGGTCCTTTGGGGCTTGGTGTCGCTTGTCCCTCGTGCTCACATTGCTTTCACCGGGTGTTCTTCCTTTCCCCATGCCCGGCTCTGCCCAGTGCTGATGGGGTGTCAGTGCCACCTGCTGCTCTCAATAAAAGGTAGGTGTCATTTCTTTTGGTTTCCATAGCATTTGCTACACTTTCCTTCTGTCTCTCTTCTTTGTTTTTCTTTTTGCTCTCAATAAATGGCAGGTTCAATTCCTTTTGGCTCCTGTAGTATTTGCTACACTTGTGTTCTGTTTCTCCTTGCTTTTTTCCATGTTGCCTGGCTGTGCCTCGCTGGAGTTCCCATGAGCCCCGGGCACATTTGTGACCAAGTGAGGTGCCACAAACAGAGGTATCTCCTAAACAGGCTTCTGCTGAGTGCTGTCCTCGTCTTGGGCTTTGTGCAATGCCGACCTTTCTTTTCTAACCCACTTTGTTGAGGACGGCGTGTGAGGCTTTCTTTTTTCTTTCTAAGATTGGGGACTCCACCACCAGAAGTAGCAGGCATTTTGAGATATCCAAGGTTCCGCAGTGAGCGTGTCTTGTTCCTGGTAAAGGTGTGGGTGTTCCTGGACACGAAGGTATCTATCTTCATGCCTTGCCCATGTGCCCAGTCCCCCACCAGATGCTGTTTGCCTTTTGGCCCCCCTGATTTGCTGCACTGCTGCGCCCTGATCCTTGCAGAGGGGTAAGGGACACCTTTGTCCCTTCCGGAAAGCGCTCTCCACTTTCCTCTCGTTGGTCATCGGCAGCACCGTCCCTCTCTCACCAGTCTTTCATTTGTCACTGGCAGCGTCGTCCCACCCTCGCCAGCCTGTGATTGGTCACCGGCAGCGCCGTCCCACCCTCGCCAGCCTGTGATTGGTCCTCAGCAGCACCGTCCCGCCCTTGACAGCCTGTGGTTGGTCCTCAGCAGCGCCGTCGCTTCCTCGCCAGCCTGTTATTGGTCATCTGCAGAACTGTGCCGCCCTCGCCAGCCTGTGATTGGTCATCGGCAGCGCCGTCCCGCCCCACCAGTGTCTCATTGGTCATCGGAAGCGCCGTCCCGCCCCACCAGGGTCTCACTGGTCATCTGCTGCGCCGTCCTGCCCCCGCCAGCCTGTCATTGGTGATCGGCAGCGCCGTCCTGCCCCCGCCAGCCTGTCATTGGTCATCGGCATCGCCGTCCCGCCCCACCAGTGTATCATTGGTCATCGGCAGCGCCGTCCTTCCCTGCCAGCCTCTCATTGGTCATCGGCAGCGCTGTCCTGCCCTTGCCAGTCTTTCATTGGTCTTTGGCAGCGCCGTCCTGCCTCTGCCAGATTCTCATTGGTCAGCAGCAGTCTTTTCCCCGCCTTTTCCCCATTGCTGTTCACCTTCCACCTTCCCCTTTTCCCCTTTCCTTTTCCTCGTTCTCATGTCTTGTTTTTTTCATCCAGGGCCCCTTTTTTCTGCCCCTTCCCCCCTTTTATCTCCTTTTTTTGCCCCCTTTTCCACTTCTGTCCTCTTTTCCCCTTTTCCCCCTGTTCTCCTCTCTCCTTTTCTCCTCCTCATCTCTTTTTCTTTTTCCTCCCTTTCTCATTCTTCTTTTCCCCTTTCCTCTGTTGTCTTCATTTCTCTTTTGCCCTCTTTACTCTCCTTTTCTTCGCCCCCTTCTTCTTCTTTTTGCCCCCATCCCCACTTCCCCTTTCACCCCCTTTACCCCTTTTCCTCCCCATCGTCCCTTTTTGCCCCGTCCCCCTTTTTTGTTTTCCTTTTCCTCTTTTTCTCCCTCTTCCTTCCCCCCCCGCTCCTCGGCCCCATTCCTTTTTCCTTCCCCATCGTCCCTTTTTCTTCCAAAGCCGATTCCATTCGCAGTGCGATGGCGGCTCCTGCGAGCAGCAGAGCCCCGAGCAGCAGCGCTGCGTCTTGGCTCCCCCATTGCCCGCTGCTGAGCTCTTCCTGCCCTGGCTCCTCACTGGCTGAGCGCTGCAGCTTCCCCTTTTGGGCGACGCTTCACCACTTGCACAAACAACCAGCAGACGCACATCATTGCTGCCCAAACACACGCAGGCCTTCATTGCTTCATTGCTTTCTCACCACTGCTCTCATCACGAACCAACGTGCGGTCGGAACTTGCGGCCCTCAGGTTTTCAGCATCAACACAGACACAGCCTCTGAATTGCTTCATTACCCCCTGCCATTCGTGCCCTTCCCGCTGCTCGTTGTTCTGCTCTTCCGGCCGTTTTTCCGCAGCGCTGAGCTCGGCGGGAGGACAGAGGGGAGCAGCTGGGATCGTCACAGACTCCTCATGTTCCCACGCAGCGGGACAGCGCTGCTTCGTGCGATGGCCCTTTTTCCTCCCTCGTCCCCCTTTTTCCTTTTGTCCTTCTCATGCACTTCCTGCTATCCCGCCTTTTCCCCGCCTTCCCTCATCTCTTCTTGCACTCTTTGACCCCTTTTTCTCCCCCCATCCTTATTTCTCTTCACATTCCCCTGTTCTTTTTTCCCCTTTCCTCTTCTTCATCCCCAGCTCCGCTTCCCCCCACCTCACGTCCCCTTTCTTCTGTCCCTGTACCCCATTTTTCCCTTTTTTTCCCCACCCCCTTTTTTTGTTCTCTGCTGTCCCCTATTCCCTTTTTCCTCTTTGCTCTCTCTCTCCTTTCTTCCCCCTCATCCTGTTACAGAAGTAAGTGAAGGAATGATGGACAAGCTGGTGCAGGATGGCAGCAGCAGGGTGGAAGCCCAGGTGGGTGCGATGAAGCCGGGGGTGGGAGTGGGTGGAGCCAGAGCCCTGCCTGAGCTCATTTAAGGGCTGGGAATTGCAGGGCTCAGATGTGTGCCTGGGCTTCTGGTGTCAGTGGGGTTGGGTGAGCAGTGAGGTTTGGGAGGGACCGACTTGTTGGCCTTGAGATTGATGCCCAGCTCCTTGCTCGTGGCATTCTGTTTGGTTCGAGGTTCCGGACAAGGCTTGCTCTTCTCAGCAGTGTGAGAACTGCAAGGAAGACTTTGTTGGATGCAGCAGGAAAGCACAGCCGCTGGTGGATGCCAGTGTCTGTTCCTGAGGCTGTGCGCCAAGGTACGTGGATCCCTGCCTTCTCCTGTTTCACACGCTCGCTGAGGTCCTTTGGGGCTTGGTGTCGCTTGTCCCTCGTGCTCACGTTGCTGTCACCGGGTGTTCTTCCTTTCCCCATGCCCGGCTCTGCCCAGTGCTGATGGGATGCCAGTGCCACTTGCTGCTCTTAATAAAAGGTAGGTTTGATTTCATTTAGCTTCCATAGCATTTGCTACACTTTCATTCTGTCTTTCTACTTTTTTTCTTTTTTTCTTTTTTGCTCTCAATAAATGGCAGGTTGAATTCATTTTGACTCCTGTAGTATTTGCTACACTTGTGTTCTGTTTCTCCTCGCTTTTTTCCATGTTGCCTGCTGGTGCCTCGCTGGAGTTCCCATGTGCCCCGGGCACACTTGTGAGCAAGTGAGGTGCGAAAAGAAGAGGTATCTCCTAAACAGGCTTCTGCTGAGTGCTGTCCTTGACTCGGGGTTTGTACAATGACCAGCCTTTGTTGCTAAGCCACGTTGTTGAGCACTGCGTGTGAAGCTTTCTTCTTTCTTTCTAGGGTTGGCGACTCCTCCACCAGATGCAGCAGGCATTTTGGGCTGCCCAAGCTTCTGCAGTGAACGTGTCACATTCCTGGTAAAGTTGTGGGCGTTCCTGGATGTGCCCAGTCCCCCGGATCCCTGCTGTCTCCTGTTCCACACACTCGCTGAGGTCCTTTGGGGCTTGGTGTCTGTTGTCCCTCGTGCTCACGTTGCTTTCACCGGGTGTTCTTCCTTTCCCCATGCCCGGCTCTGCCCAGTGCTGATGGGGTGTCAGTGCCACCTGCTGCTCTCGATAAAAGGTAGGTGTCATTTCTTTTGGTTTCCATAGCATTTGCTACACTTTCCTTCTGTCTCTCTTCTTTGTTTTTCTTTTTGCTCTCAATAAATGGCAGGTTCAATTCCTTTTGGCTCCTGTAGTATTTGCTACACTTGTGTTCTGTTTCTCCTTGCTTTTTTCCATGTTGCCTGGCTGTGCCTCGCTGGAGTTCCCATGAGCCCCAGGCACACTTGTGACCAAGTGAGGTGCCAAAAACAGAGGTATCTCCTAAACAGGCTTCTGCTGAGTGCTGTCCTCATCTTGGGCTTTGTCCAATGCCCACCTTTCTTTTCTAACCCACTTTGTTGAGGACGGCGTGTGAGGCTTTCTTCTTTCTTTGTAGGATTGGCGACTCCACCACCAGAAGTAGCAGGCATTTTGGGATATCCAAGGTTCCGCAGTGAACGTGTCCTGTTCCTGGTAAAGGTGTGGGCGTTCCTGGACACGAAGGTATCTATCTTCATGCCTTGCCCATGTGCCCAGTCCCCCACCAGATGCTGTTTGCCTTTTGGCCCCCCTGATTTGCTGCACTGCTGCGCCCTGATCCTTGCAGAGGGGTAAGGGACACCTTTGTCCCTTCCGGAAAGCGCTCTCCACTTTCCTCTCGTTGGTCATCGGCAGCACCGTCCCTCTCTCACCAGTCTTTCATTTGTCACTGGCAGCGCCGTCCCACCCTCGCCAGCCTGTGATTGGTCACCGGCAGCGCCGTCCCACCCTCGCCAGCCTGTGATTGGTCCTCAGCAGCACCGTCCCGCCCTCTACAGCCTGTGGTTGGTCCTCAGCAGCGCCGTCGCTTCCTCGCCAGCCTGTTATTGGTCATCTGCAGAACTGTGCCGCCCTCGCCAGCCTGTGATTGGTCATCGGCAGCGCCGTCCCGCCCCACCAGTGTCTCATTGGTCATCGGCAGCGCCGTCCCACCCCACCAGGGTCTCATTGGTCATTGGCAGCGCCGTCCTGCCCCCGCCAGCCTGTCATTGGTCATCGGCATCGCCGTCCCGCCCCACCAGTGTCTCATTGGTCATCGGCAGCGCCGTCCTTCCCTGCCAGCCTCTCATTGGTCATCGGCAGCGCTGTCCCGCCCTTACCAGTCTTTCACTGGTCTTTGGCAGCGCCGTCCTGCCTCTGCCAGATTCTCATTGGTCAGCAGCAGTCTTTTCCCTGCCTTTTCCCCATTGCTGTTCACCTTCCCCCTTCCCCCTTCCCCTTTCCTTTTCCTCGTTCTCATGTCTTGTTTTTTTCATCCAGGGCCCCTTTTTTCTGCCCCTTCCCCCCTTTTATCTCCTTTTTTTGCCCCCCTTTCCACTTCTGTCCTCTTTTCCCCTTTTCCCCCTGTTCTCCTCTCTCCTTTTCTCCTCCTCATCTCTTTTTCTTTTTCCTCCCTTTCTCATTCTTCTTTTCCCCTTTCCCCTCTTGTCTTCATTTCTCTTTTGCCCTCTTTACTCTCCTTTTCTTCGCCCCCTTCTTCTTCTTTTTGCCCCCGTCCACACTTCCCCTTTCACCCCCTTTACCCCTTTTCCTCCCCATCGTCCCTTTTTGCCCCGTCCCCCTTTTTTGTTTTCCTTTTCCTCTTTTTCTCCCCCTTCCTTTTCCCCCCTCCACCCCATTCCTTGTTCCTTCCCCATCGTCCCTTTTTCTTCCAAAGCCGATTCCGTTCGCAGTGCGATGGCGGCTCCTGCGAGCAGCAGAGCCCCGAGCAGCAGCGCTGCGTCTTGGCTCCCCCATTGCCCGCTGCTGAGCTCTTCCTGCCCTGGCTCCTCACTGGCTGAGCGCTGCAGCTTCCCCTTTTGGGCGACGCTTCACCACTTGCACAAACAACCAGCAGACGCACATCTTTGCCGCCCAAACACACGCAGGCCTTCATTGCTTCATTGCTTTCTCACCACTGCTCTCATCACGAACCAAAGTGCGGTCGGAACTTGCGGCCCTCAGGTTTTCAGCATCAACACAGACACAGCCTCTGAATTGCTTCATTACCCCCTGCCATTCGTGCCCTTCCCGCTGCTCGTTGTTCTGCTCTTCCGGCCGTTTTTCCGCAGCGCTGAGCTCGGCAGGAGGACAGAGGGGAGCAGCTGGGAGCCTCACAGACTCCTCATGTTCCCACGCAGCGGGACAGCGCTGCTGCGTGCGATGGCCCTGATTCCTCCCTCGTCCCCCTTTTTCCTCCCTCGTCCCCCTTTTCCTTTTGTCCTTCTCATGCACTTCCTGCTATCCCGCCTTTTCCCCGCCTTCCCTCATCTCTTCTTGCACTCTTTGCCCCCTTTTTCTCCCCTCATCCTTATTTCTCTTCACATTCCCCTCTTCTTTTTTCCCCTTTCCTCTTCTTCATCCCCAGCTCCGCTTCCCCCCCACCTCACGTCCCGTTTCTTCTGTCCCTGTACCCCATTTTTCCCTTTTTTTCCCCACCCCCTTGTTTTGTTCTCTGCTGTCCCCTATTCCCTTTTTCCTCTTTGCTCTCTCTCTCCTTTCTTCCCCCTCATCCTGTTACAGAAGTAAGTGAAGGAATGATGGACAAGCTGGTGCAGGATGGCAGCAGCAGGGTGGAAGCCCAGGTGGGTGCGATGAAGCCGGAGGTGGGAGTGGGTGGAGCCCGAGCCCTGCCTGATCTCATTTAAGGGCTGGGAATGGCAGGGCTCAGATGTGTGCCTGGGCTTCTGCTGTCAGTAAGGTTGGGTGAGCAGTGAGGTTTGGGAGGGACCGACTTGTTGGCCTTGAGATTGATGCCCAGCTCCTTGCTCGTCGCATTCTGTTCGGCTCGAGGTTCCAGACACGGCTTGCTCTTCTCAGCAGTGTGAGGACTGCAAGGAAGACTTTGTTGGATGCAGCAGGAAAGCACAGCTGCTGGTGGATGCCAGTGTCCGCTCCTGAGGCTGTGCGCCAAGGTACGTGGATCCCTGCGGTCTCCTGTTTCACACGCTCGCTGAGGTCCTTGGGCTTGGTGTCGCTTGTCCCTCGTGCTGACGTTGCTGTCACCGGGTGTTCTTCCTTTCCCCATGCTCAGCTCTGCCCAGTGCTGATGGGATGCCAGTGCCACCTGCTGCTCTTAATAAAAGGTAGGTTTGATTTCATTTAGCTTCCATAGCATTTGCTACACTTTCATTCTGTCTTTCTACTTTTTTTCTTTTTTTCTTTTTGCTCTCAATAAATGGCAGGTTGAATTCATTTTGGCTCCTGTAGTATTTGCTACACTTGTGTTCTGTTTCTCCTCGCTTTTTTCCATGTTGCCTGGCTGTGCCTCGCTGGAGTTCCCATGTGCCCCGGGCCCACTTGTGAGCAAGTGAGGTGCGAAAAGAAGAGGTATCTCCTAAACAGGCTTCTGCTGAGTGCTGTCCTCATCTTGGGGTTTGTCCACTGCCCACCTTTCTTTTCTAACCCACTTTGTTGAGGACGGCGTGTGAGACTTTCTTTTTTCTTTCTAAGATTGGGGAATCCACCACCAGAAATAGCAGGCATTTTGGGATATCCAAGGTTCTGCAGTGAGCGTGTCCTGTTCCTGGTAAAGGTGTGGGCGTTCCCGGACACGAAGGTATCGATCTTCATGCCTTCCCCATGTGCCCAGTCCCCCACCAGATGCTGTTTGCCTTTTGGCCCTCCTGATTTGCTGCACTGCTGCGACCTTATCTTTGCAGAGGGGTAAGTGACACCTTTGTCCCTTCCAGAAAGCACTCTCCACTTTCCTCTCCTTAGTCACCGGCAGCACCGTCCCGCCCTCGCCAGCCTGTGATTGGTCACCGGCAGCGCTGTCCCGCCCTCGTCAGGCTGTGATCGGTCACCGGCAGCGCCGGCTCGCCCTCACCAGCCTGTGATTGGTCATCGGCAGCGCCATTCCCGCCCTCATGTGTCTCTCATTGGTGATCGACAGCACCGTCCCGCCCCCTTGTGCCTATTATTGCTCATCGACAGCACCCTCCCGCCCCATCAGCGTCTCATTGGTCATCGGCAGCGCCGTCCCGCCCTCGCCAGCCTGTGGTTGGTCCTCAGCAGCGCCGTTGCACCCTCGACAGCCTGTGATTGGTCTTCAGCAGCGCAGTCGCACCCTCGCCAGCCTGTGATTGCTCATCGGCAGCGCCGTCCCGCCCCACCAGTGTCTCATTGGTGATCGACAGCGCCGTCCCGCCCCACCAGTGTCTCATTGGTCATCGGCAGCGCCGTCCCGCCCTCGCCATCCTGTGATTGGTCATCTGCAGAACTGTGCCGCCCTCGCCAGCCTGTGATTGGTCATCAGCAGCGCCGTCGCTCCCTCGCCAGCCTATGATTGGTCATCGGCATCGCCGTCCCGCCCCACCAGTGTCTCATTGGTCATCGGCAGCGCCGTCCTTCCCTGCCAGCCTCTCATTGGTCATCGGCAGCGCTGTCCTGCCCTTGCCAGTCTTTCATTGGTCTTTGGCAGCGCCGTCCTGCCTCTGCCAGATTCTCATTGGTCAGCAGCAGTCTTTTCCCTGCCTTTTCCCCATTGCTGTTCACCTTCCCCCTTCCCCCTTCCCCTTTCCTTTTCCTCGTTCTCATGTCTTGTTTTTTTCATCCAGGGCCCCTTTTTTCTGCCCCTTCCCCCCTTTTATCTCCTTTTTTTTGCCCCCCTTTCCACTTCTGTCCTCTTTTCCCCTTTTCCCCCTGTTCTCCTCTCTCCTTTTCTCCTCCTCATCTCTTTTTCTTTTTCCTCCCTTTCTCATTCTTCTTTTCCCCTTTCCCCTCTTGTCTTCATTTCTCTTTTGCCCTCTTTACTCTCCTTTTCTTCGCCCCCTTCTTCTTCTTTTTGCCCCCGTCCACACTTCCCCTTTCACCCCCTTTACCCCTTTTCCTCCCCATCGTCCCTTTTTGCCCCGTCCCCCTTTTTTGTTTTCCTTTTCCTCTTTTTCTCCCCCTTCCTTTCCCCCCCTTATGTCGGCCCCATTCCTTTTTCCTTCCCCATCGTCCCCTTTTCTTCCAAACCCATTCTGTTCGCAGTGCGATGGCGGCTCCTGCGAGCAGCAGAGCCCCGAGCAGCAGTGCTGCGTCTTGGCTCCCCCATTGCCCGCTGCTGAGCTCTTCCTGCCCTGGCTCCTCACTGGCTGAGCGCTGCAGCTTCCCCTTTTGGGCGACGCTTCACCACTTGCACAAACAACCAGCAGACGCACATCTTTGCCGCCCAAACACACGCAGGCCTTCATTGCTTCATTGCTTTCTCACCACTGCTCTCATCACGAACCAACGTGCAGTCGGAACTTGCGGCCCTCAGGTTTTCAGCATCAACACAGACACAGCCTCTGAATTGCTTCATTACCCCCTGCCATTCGTGACCTTCCCGCTGCTCGTTGTTCTGCTCTTCCGGCTGTTTTTCCGCAGCGCTGAGCTCGGCAGGAGGACAGAGGGGAGCAGCTGGGAGCCTCACAGACTCCTCATGTTCCCACGCAGCGGGACAGCGCTGCTGCGTGCGATGGCCCTGATTCCTCCCTCGTCCCCCTTTTTCCTCCCTCGTCCCCCTTTTCCTTTTGTCCTTCTCATGCACTTCCTGCTATCCCGCCTTTTCCCCGCCTTCCCTCATCTCTTCTTGCACTCTTTGCCCCCTTTTTCTCCCCCCATCCTTATTTCTCTTCACATTCCCCTCTTCTTTTTTCCCCTTTCCTCTTCATCCCCAGCTCCGCTTCCCCCCCACCTCACGTCCCGTTTCTTCTGTCCCTGTACCCCACTTTTCCCTTTTTTTCCCCACCCCCTTTTTTTGTTCTCTGCTGTCCCCTATTCCCTTTTTCCTCTTTGCTCTCTCTCTCCTTTCTTCCCCCTCATCCTGTTACAGAAGTAAGTGAAGGAATGATGGACAAGCTGGTGCAGGATGGCAGCAGCAGGGTGGAAGCCCAGGTGGGTGCGATGAAGCCGGAGGTGGGAGTGGGTGGAGCCCGAGCCCTGCCTGATCTCATTTAAGGGCTGGGAATGGCAGGGCTCAGATGTGTGCCTGGGCTTCTGCTGTCAGTAAGGTTGGGTGAGCAGTGAGGTTTGGGAGGGACCGACTTGTTGGCCTTGAGATTGATGCCCAGCTCCTTGCTCGTCGCATTCTGTTCGGCTCGAGGTTCCAGACACGGCTTGCTCTTCTCAGCAGTGTGAGGACTGCAAGGAAGACTTTGTTGGATGCAGCAGGAAAGCACAGCTGCTGGTGGATGCCAGTGTCCGCTCCTGAGGCTGTGCGCCAAGGTACGTGGATCCCTGCCTTCTCCTGTTTCACACGCTCGCTGAGGTCCTTGGGCTTGGTGTCGCTTGTCCCTCGTGCTGACGTTGCTGTCACCGGGTGTTCTTCCTTTCCCCATGCTCAGCTCTGCCCAGTGCTGATGGGATGCCAGTGCCACCTGCTGCTCTTAATAAAAGGTAGGTTTGATTTCATTTAGCTTCCATAGCATTTGCTACACTTTCATTCTGTCTTTCTACTTTTTTTCTTTTTTTCTTTTTGCTCTCAATAAATGGCAGGTTGAATTCATTTTGGCTCCTGTAGTATTTGCTACACTTGTGTTCTGTTTCTCCTCGCTTTTTTCCATGTTGCCTGGCTGTGCCTCGCTGGAGTTCCCATGTGCCCCGGGCCCACTTGTGAGCAAGTGAGGTGCGAAAAGAAGAGGTATCTCCTAAACAGGCTTCTGCTGAGTGCTGTCCTCATCTTGGGGTTTGTCCACTGCCCACCTTTCTTTTCTAACCCACTTTGTTGAGGACGGCGTGTGAGACTTTCTTTTTTCTTTCTAAGATTGGGGAATCCACCACCAGAAATAGCAGGCATTTTGGGATATCCAAGGTTCCGCAGTGAGCGTGTCCTGTTCCTGGTAAAGTTGTGGGCGTTCCCGGACACGAAGGTATCGATCTTCATGCCTTCCCCATGTGCTCAGTCCCCCACCAGATGCTGTTTGCCTTTTGGCCCTCCTGATTTTCTGCACTGCTGCGACCTTATCTTTGCAGAGGGGTAAGTGACACCTTTGTCCCTTCCGGAAAGCACTCTCCACTTTCCTCTCCTTAGTCATCGGCAGCACCGTCCCGCCCTCGCCAGCCTGTGATTGGTCACCGGCAGCGCCGTCCCGCCCTCGTCAGGCTGTGATCGGTCACCGGCAGCGCCGGCTCGCCCTCGCCAGCCTGTGATTGGTCATCGGCAGCGCCATTCCCGCCCTCATGTGTCTCTCATTGGTGATCGACAGCACCGTCCCGCCCCCTTGTGCCTATTATCGCTTATCGACAGCACCCTCCCGCCCCATCAGCGTCTCATTGGTCATCGGCAGCGCCGTCCCGCCCTCGCCAGCCTGTGGTTGGTCCTCAGCAGCGCCGTTGTACCCTCGACAGCCTGTGATTGGTCTTCAGCAGCGCAGTCGCACCCTCGCCAGCCTGTGATTGCTCATCGGCAGCGCCGTCCCGCCCCACCAGTGTCTCATTGGTGATCGACAGCGCCGTCCCGCCCCACCAGTGTCTCATTGGTCATCGGCAGCGCCGTCCCGCCCTCGCCATCCTGTGATTGGTCATCTGCAGAACTGTGCCGCCCTCGCCAGCCTGTGATTGGTCATCAGCAGCGCCGTCGCTCCCTCGCCAGCCTGTGATTGCTCATCGGCATCGCCGTCCCGCCCCACCAGTGTCTCATTGGTCATCGGCAGCGCCGTCCTTCCCTGCCAGCCTCTCATTGGTCATCGGCAGCGCTGTCCCGCCCTTGCCAGTCTTTCATTGGTCTTTGGCAGCGCCGTCCTGCCTCTGCCAGATCCTCATTGGTCAGCAGCAGTCTTTTCCCCGCCTTTTCCCCATTGCTGTTCACCTTCCCCCTTCCCCCTTCCCCTTTCCTTTTCCTCGTTCTCATGTCTTGTTCTTTTCATCCAGGGCCCCTTTTTTCTGCCCCTTCCCCCCTTTTATCTCCTTTTTTTGCCCCCCTTTCCACTTCTGTCCTCTTTTCCCCTTTTCCCCCTGTTCTCCTCTCTCCTTTTCTCCTCCTCATCTCTTTTTCTTTTTCCTCCCTTTCTCATTCTTCTTTTCCCCTTTCCTCTGTTGTCTTCATTTCTCTTTTGCCCTCTTTACTCTCCTTTTCTTCGCCCCCTTCTTCTTCTTTTTGCCCCCGTCCACACTTCCCCTTTCACCCCCTTTTCCTCCCCATCGTCCCTTTTTGCCCCGTCCCCCTTTTTTGTTTTCCTTTTCCTCTTTTTCTCCCCCTTCCTTTTCCCCCCTCGACTCCATTCCTTGTTCCTTCCCCATCGTCCCTTTTTCTTCCAAAGCCGATTCCGTTCGCAGTGCGATGGCGGCTCCTGCGAGCAGCAGAGCCCCGAGCAGGAGCGTTGCGTCTTGGCTCCCCCATTGCCCGCTGCTGAGCTCTTCCTGCCCTGGCTCCTCACTGGCTGAGCGCTGCAGCTTCCCCTTTTGGGCGACGCTTCACCACTTGCACAAACAACCAGCAGACGCACATCTTTGCTGCCCAAACACACGCAGGCCTTCATTGCTTCATTGCTTTCTCACCACTGCTCTCATCACGAACCAACGTGCGGTCGGAACTTGCGGCCCTCAGGTTTTCAGCATCAACACAGACACAGCCTCTGAATTGCTTCATTACCCCCTGCCATTCGTGCCCTTCCCGCTGCTCGTTGTTCTGCTCTTCCGGCCGTTTTTCCGCAGCGCTGAGCTCGGCAGGAGGACAGAGGGGAGCAGCTGGGAGCCTCACAGACTCCTCATGTTCCCACGCAGCGGGACAGCGCTGCTGCGTGCGATGGCCCTGATTCCTCCCTCGTCCCCCTTTTTCCTCCCTCGTCCCCCTTTTCCTTTTGTCCTTCTCATGCACTTCCTGCTATCCCGCCTTTTCCCCGCCTTCCCTCATCTCTTCTTGCACTCTTTGCCCCCTTTTTCTCCCCT